TCACGCCTGCCGCTCCTGGGATCGCCACCTTCTTCAGAGCTCCTAGCCCACCACATCAGAGGGCTGACCGCTGCAAGGCAGGGACCCTGCCTGCTGGGTTCACAGCTGCCTCCTCGGGGAGCAGCAAGGCACCTGGCGCAGCAGAGCTGAGCGAACCCCTGAGGAATGAGAGCGCAAGGAGCCAGGCTTGCTCAGTGCTTGAAGCTCTGTGCGTGCTAAATGCTTGGATGAGTGCCTTCACTCCCTCCTTCCAAACCTCGGCAAGGCAGGGAAAGCAGCGATCCCCGGACATGGAAATGGGGTGCAGAGGGGACGAGACCGGCACACTGAGCGCGGCCCGGCCTCACCGGAGCTTCATGACACCTGCGTGTCCTAGAACAGGCCCGAAAACACTGCCCTTGTGGAACTGCAATGTCACGCCGGAACCACGACCCCTGGTCGCAATCCAGGTCTCCAGGGCTCCCCCGACGGCCCACCTGGGCCTGTGTTTAGTCCAGGGGCCAGCACACTTTCCCACAAAGGGCCGACTGCTCAGTAACACAGGGGCAGCTGGATTTGGCCCAGGGCTGGGTGGCCCCTGGACCAGGGAGGAGGCACCCTGTGTGGGGTGGCGACACCTGGGACGGCCTTGCCCTCCTCACCCACCCTTGGAGAACTTGTCAAATGTCTCTCTCTCTCCATACACCCACCTGCTGCATGCAGCACACCCACCCCGGCCCCGGCACCAGGTGAACCGCGGGTCTCCCCAGCAGGCGGAAGGGCTCACAGCTTCTGGAAACTACTGCCCACGACCAGGACCTAATCGGGAAGTGACCCCATGCCGGGAGAGGCCTGGTGGGCGGGCAGGCTGACCTCAGCCCTCCCTCCATAGTCATAGTCACGGCCACGGCCAGAGGACAGGGACAGATGGGCGTGCTGGGGACACAGGCTGCAGGCCAGTAACGAAGGCTTCCGGACACTTGGTGTGAACTCACTCGCTCACACCCTAGCAGGTGGCTCACACTTCTGTGTGAAGAGAGACTCGGCCTCCAAGGAGGAAAGCAGCCGCCACCACCCTTAGGTGTGTGCGTGTGTGTATATCTCCTCTGACCTTCAGGGCAGGGGCTGGAGCTCCGGGGTGACAGAGGAGCTGTGTGGCTGCAGGCAGACTCCTGAACCTCTCTGTGCCTCACGTCTCACCTGGGTTAGGACGGCCTGGAGTCAGGGTTGGTACAGTGGGTCCGGGTGCTCTGGCTGACATCGGCAGCCCCCCTGGGCACCGAGCCAGCGTGGGCAGAGCAGTGACCCCGGCAGGGGTCCGGGGGCAGGGCTTCAGGACATTCAAAAGACACACCTGGACAGCAGCCCAAGGGTAGCTGGGAGAAGAGGGGACAGGACAGGCTGAGTTACCCTGGCCAGGGGGTGGCGCTGAGCGGAAAACCTCGTTTTAAAGAAGAACTGCCGTGGTGCTAACCGCCTGCTCTGTGCCAGGCACCGCGCCCAAGCTTAACTCTCACAAAGGCGGTCACGTACTGCTGAGAACACGCCCCCGGCCAGACCAGAAGTGGGGGCTTCCCAGGCTGCGGACCTTGCGCCAACTGCTCTGTGGGCACCCCTGACCACCTTGATGGCACACGGAGCTGTCACAGACGCCGGGCCAGCCAGGGAGGGGCAGGGAGGACGCCGCCAGGGGCTGCTGTGGGGAGCCACAGCCGAGGCCGCTGTCAGAGACCCGGGCTCTGTGGGAGCCCCAACGCACCGTGAAGAGGGGGAACCGTCTATGCCACCCACTCTGCTCCCAGCATGGCGCGGGCCCAAATCAACCACATCAGGGCTTGCTTCCGGCCGCTGATTAGTATCCTTAGATCTAAGGGGGTGGCGAGTGGGGGAGGCATGGTGTCAGGGTGAGGTGTGCCTGCCAGCTTCCCAGGGGTGACTGCAGCCTGGGGGCCACGAAGGAGAAGAGAGCCCAGAGCTGACGTGGCCTCAGCCTCGGTGACCGGGACTGGGGGCCACGAAGGAGAAGAGAGCCCAGAGCTGACGTGGCCTCAGCCTCAGTGACCGGGACTGGGGGCCACAAAGGAGGAGACAGCCCAGCACTGACGTGGCCTCGGCCTTGGTGACTGGGACTGGGGACCACGAAGGAGGAGAGAGCCCAGGGCTGACGTGGCCTCAGCCTCGGTGACCGGGACTGGGGGCCACGAGGGAGGAGAGAGCCCAGTGCTGACGTGGCCTCGGCCTCAGTGACCGGGACTGGGAAAGGCCCCAGTCTCTCCAGGCTCTGTCTCTACATCTGTAAAACGACACAGTGACCAGAGGGACTTGAGGAGTCAGAGGTCAGTGGTACAGCCACTGGGAAAAGGGATGCTGGCCTGGCCCTCCCACGCGCCGTCCTGGCTCCACGGGCCACTTCCTCTCAGGCAGGAGCCAGTCCCCTGAGGCCTCAGCCACGATGGCCGCCCTCCTCAGCCGCCTGTCAGTGGCACCTGCCTCTGGCAGCTAGGAAGGCACAATAAGCCCCTGATCTGTCAGCTACAAGGCAGGGAGGTGGGGAGGGGTGTGAGCAGGAAGAGCAACCAGGCCTTGACCATGAACGTGGAGCTCAGCTTCCTCTGCCACAAAGAAGACCACAGGAGCTCTCAGACAGTGGCCAGGGCACGCGCGGAGCACTGCACAGAGGGAGATGCTGCCCCCTGAGCCTCTCTCTCACCGCTGGGCGCACTGGAGCCCATCTTCCTGCCCCGGCCCCTAACAGCACTCCCACAGGAACGGACCGTGCCGGCGACACGGGAGTGACCACTCCATCCCCGCCCCTGCCTGCTTCTGGGGAGCCGGCCGCGTGCTAGCACGGATTCCTCTCTAGCACCTGCTGAAAGGAAGGTTCATAGAATCATCCCCATTTCACACACGGCGAACACGGAGGCCTTGCGTGGATGCACACTGCTGGGCGCCCGCAGGATCTGGGGCAGACGGAATCTGCCTGGCCTGGAGGTGACAACTGTGTGCCTGTTTCCAGGCCACACAGATGACCCACAGAGGTCACGGAAACCCCAACCCGGGATCTGCTGTGTGCTCCTGGGTGGGAGGCCCCGGCCCAGGGTCCCGTCTCCTTTGGGTGCCAAGTGGGACCACAGCACCCTTTCCCTGTGGGGCTGTTGTACACTTGCAGGAGGGGAGGTTGTGTGGGAAGGCACGCAGAGCCCAGCCCAGCACACTCAGGGCCATGGAGGCCACCTGGCAGTGTGGACCAGACTGGGTCCCAAAAACCAGTGACCTGCCCCCGGCTGGTGACCTGTGCTGGCCAGCGGCTTTGTCTGAGATCCTGTGCATGCGGGGTTTCTTAGCTGAGAGCTCCCTTCCTGAGAAGGCTCACAGCGACCCCTGCTGCCCGCCACGGGGAATGGCCTCAAGCCCCCAGCAGGAGCGAACAACAAAAGCAAGGCAGAGCCCTGGAGGAGAAGGCTGGGTGAAAACTCTCAGGACGACGGCAGGGAGAAGAGGCACAGGTAACTGTGTTAACCCCGCTTCTACAAGTAAATAAAACACACGACGCGAAACAAGCCCTGTCCCTGCCTTTGCAGTCTGTTTCCTGGGATAAGCCTGTCCTAGCCACGCGACAGAGCTGAGGGGCGTTGCTGTCTGACCAGCACGTGGCGTCCTGAGCCAGCCTGTCCTGATCAGCAGCTCTTACACGGGAATCTTGTTGGAAGGCAGTTGTCCAAACGAGCAGACACACACAGCAGGCTAAGGGCCGGTCCCCTCCGGCGATGACGGTGCACGGCCCCCCAGGTGGTGCCCTCCCCTTAGGCAGGACACCGGGGGTCCTGGACGAGACCGCAGGCCCAGCGTCTGTGCGCCAGCTGCTGCTGACCACATCTGCTCTTGAACGGGTTGCCAGCGTGTGACAGAACAGACGGGGCGGGAGGACGAGGCTTCCCGAGGCAAGTTCCCCAGCCGGCCTCCCCCTCCGTAAACTGCACAGCGAGAGCCGGAGGGCAGGCGGCACACACAGACAGCCCCTTCTCCGCCCCGACGCACGGGCCCCGTCTGGAAGACGCCTGCCAGGAACTCTGCTGATCCTGCTGGAACCCAGCAGGTGCAGGCTCAATGCACAAGGCTAAGGGAGAATCTAGAACGTTCCCCACGCGTGAGCTGCGCGCCATCGGCCCCAGAGCGCCTCGGACGCAGCCAGGTCTCAGTGCTCAGCGCTGCAGGGGCTTCCCCCCCCAGCCGCTGCTAGCTCGCAGGGCAGGTGGTCTCGTCCTGCTCAGCACCTGCCTGGGAGCACAGCGGCTTCGAGCAGCTCCTCTCCTCTGTTCACACCGGGCTCAGCCCTGGGGGCCGCCCGACTCATCTGGAAAACCACGTATCGCAGCAATGTGCCAACAGAGGTCGCAGACGGCAGCCCTGGGGGGGGGGGGGGGCTGCTAAAGAGCTCCCCCAAGAAACGAGATTGCCAGGGTCTCTCTCCAAACCCGAGAGGCGCGGTCCTGCTGATGTCAGGGTTCCTAAGTGGCCCCCAGCGGGGCCGGCAGAGTCTGGGTCCCCTGCCCAGCCCCGGGAGGCAGCAACTCCCCTGTCCCCAGAGGGGCCCTCCTCAGACCGCGAATGAGACCAGCTGTCCCCAACCCTGTGCGGACGCCAGGACCCTCAGGGCAACTCTGAGCCAAGAGCAACGCCCCAGACCGAGGGACTCCGTGGGCGGAGCCCATGTTTGCACGCACCACCAGGTGACCCAAGGCTGCTCAGGTGGGGAACTGCTGAGAGCCGGGTTTCAGCCCCCACCGGGCTGCGGATGGGGATGGAGACGCCCCCACTGCCCCTTCTCCTCCCGCTCCGAGGGCAGGAGGCGGCTGCCATGCCGTGCTCTGGGGAGCCGTGTCCCAGACTCGGAGCGAAATCAAAGGTGGCTAAAGGACGGCCTCCGACAGGCCGCCCAGCTGTCCCACGGCGACCCCGGCACCGCGGCCGCCTCCCCGCAGGCCCTGCCCGCACGCGGCGCCCGGGTCAGCGCGCCTCACCTGAAGAGCTCGCGGATCTCCCGGCTGTCAGCCTGGAAGGGGATGTTCCGCACCAGGATCTTGGACGTCGTCTGCTTCCTGGGAACCTGCTTCTTCCGAGCCGAGGTCAGGGCTGGCCTGCAGGGACAGGGCGCTGGTCACTGAGGGTGGCAGCAGCCCCTGCCCCACATGGACCCCACCGCTTCCCACCCACAGCCACCGCTCCCGCCCGATGTGTGGGGGACGTGTTCAAGATCGTGCCCCGGAGGAGGAGGCAGCGCCCGCCTTGGGCACGAGAGCCACGGCCACCTTCTCCCAAAACATCTGTGGCGACCAAATGCCACACCCAGCCCTGACCGAGGGACCCAGGGGCCCCCTGGGACGTGAGAAAGGAGCAGTGGCCCAGGCGCTCGGCCGAGCGGCCAAGATGCTGCCGATATCCGCACTGCACATTAGAGTGGCTCAGGTTCAAATCCTGGCTTGTTTTTTTTGTTTTTTTGTTTTTTTTTTTAAGAGATTTCATTTATTTGAAAGGCAGAGTTACAGAGGGGCAGAGGCAGAGAGAGGTCTTCCACCCGCTGGTTCACTCCCCAGATGGCCACAACGCCCAGAGCTGAGCCAATCTGAAGTCAGGAGCCAGGAGCTTCTTCTGGGTTTCCTATGGGGGTGCAGTGCAAGGACTTGGGCCATCTTCTACTGCTTTCCCAGGCCACAGCAGAGAGCTGGATCCAAAGTGGAGCGGTCGGGACTAGAACTGGCTCCCATATGGGATGCCGGCACCACAGGCGGAGGCTTAGCCCACTATGCCACAGTGCCGGCCCCTGGCTTTGTTTCTGATTCCAGCTTCCTGCTAATGTGCATCCCAGCAGGTCACGGGTGCCGGCTCATGTACTTGGGTCCCTGCCACACATGCAGGAGACCTGGATGGAATTCCTGGTTCCTGGCTTTGGCCTGGCCCCGCCCCGGCTATAATGGGCATCTGGAGATGACAGCTCTGCCTCTCAGCCTCGCAAACATATAAATAAATAACAATTTTAAAAAAGACAGGAGCCCTGATGAGGTTGGGGCTGGTTCCCACCACTGAACCTAGCCCGCGCTGTACTCTCTGCAGACACACAGAAGGCCCCAGCTGTGCTGCAAGGTCTCACGTGCGACGCTTCACCGCCCACGGAGCATCACGGAGAGGGCCCAGGCAGCGAGAGGACACTCAGCCTGGGGTCAAGGCCACCCCTATGCAGCCCCTGCTTGCCCAGGAAGCCGTCCGCCGCACCCAAGCAGGGCAGGGAGGGGCAAGGCTGTGTGTGACTACCGGGACACTGAGGACCTGGGAAGCCCAGTCACCTGGCCTTCCTGGGCCTCAGTTTCCTCATCTGTAGAATGGATGTCATAAGAGTGCCGACGCAAATGACCGGGAATTTACAGAGGGGACTTGGCACGGCACAATTCAGTGAGCGGCAGCAGTTGACGCTACCACCTCTCGCTGTGACTGGCTCCCTGCAGTCCCCCGCCTGGCCACCTCCTCAGAGACCGTCCCTGACTGTCCCACTGAAACAGCAGCCCCGTGGCTGCGCCCCAGCTCCCCCCCCACCCCACCTGGCACTCACTGCTGTCTGCCAGGGTATTGCAGACATCACCACGTTTCTCTTTCTTGTCTCATCTCTCTAGGGTGGTGCTACCCCAGACGGCAGCCTCTGGGTACACGCAGCCAGTTACAGTGCAATTAAAATGAAACAAAACTAAAAATCCACTCCGGTGGTGGCTGGAGGCCAGCCTGTGAGGCTGTGCCCAGTGATGCCGGCTTCGTGGTAGGCATGCCTCGTCTGACCCCTCCCACTGCAGCGGGGCAGCTGTGCGGCCCAGATACGGTGGGAGGGGGGACAGGACCCTGTGTGACACCGGGATGCAGACGGTGTGGAACATGAGGCCTGGCCAACGCCACACTGCTGCGCCCCTGCCCCCTCTCAGGTCACCCACTCCGGGGAGACCCGCTGCCTGCAGGAGACACCCGAGCAGTCCTGGCAGGGAGGGGGCATGGGGTGAGGACCCGGCCCCTGGCGTGGCCATGCCAGTGCAGCCGCTGTGAGCCCAGTGCCCAGCTCTGGCAGAGCGTTGGGTGACGGTGGCCCAGGCCCCCACCATGACGGCAGCCTCTAAAGCTAAGCTGCAACCACTCAGCCGGGCAGCCCCGGGCTCCTGACGCGTGGGACTGTGGGATAATGGACGCAGTCACTTGAAGCGTTTAAGCTTTGGGCTACTCTGTAATGTGCCAGTAGACTGCACAAGTCAGTTGTGCTGGCCACTCTGTGTGCCCCACGGTGCCACACAGGACAGCAGACATGGGACACATCCCCCACTGCCCTAGAGAGTACGTTCCACAAGGCCGCGCTGTCCCCAGCGCCCAAAGAGTCAAGTGCACAGAGCTCTTTCCAGGACTGCTCTGTTGGATGAAAGAACGAACATGAGGAAATGGGAGACCTCCAGAGCTCCTTAGGTGACAGCGCACCGCGGCTCAGTAGGCTAATCCTCCGCCTTGCGGCGCCGGCACACCGGGTTCTAGTCCTGGTCGGGGCGCCGGATTCTGTCCCGGTTGCCCCTCTTCCAGGCCAGCTCTCTGCTGTGGCCCAGGAGTGCAGTGGAGGATGGTCCAAGTGCTTGGGCCCTGCACCCCATGGGAGACCAGAAGCACCTGGCTCCTGCCATCAGATCAGCGTGGTGCGCCGGCCGCAGCGCGCCGGCCGTGGCGGCCATTGGAGGGTGAACCAACGGCAAAAGGAAGACCTTTTTCTCTCTCTCTCTCTCTCCTGTCACTCTGCCTGTTAAAAAACCAAAAAAAAAAAAAGGAAAAGAAAAAAGAAAGATGACCAGAGGCGCTGGGGACCGAGCCTGTATGGGGCGCACAGCCTCCCTGTGGAAGGCCCCGGGTCACGTGGGTGGCTGCTACGTCAGAACCCGCAGCACGGGCTCCAAGCCTGGGCCCTGCTCCCTCCGCCCCGTTCAGCCTCTTGGAGCTCCAGACCAAGCCTTCTTTTACTGAGGCCGACGCAGCAGAGCCTACAGATGGAAACGGCCCGAGGGGCCTGGGTAGGGCTCCAGGGAGACAGCGGGCACGTGTGATGGGCTGAGCAGTGTGGAGGTACAGGCAGGTGGAGACGGACGAGGGAAATTCCCCAACCCCCTGCTGCTCTCTGGCCAGCGGCTCTGCCTCCTCCCAGGGTGCCCACTGTGTCTCCTGTGAATCAACCGGAAGCCAACTCAGGGCCCTGCTGTCCGGCTCGGAGAAGAAGCAAGCCTCAAAGTAAGCTGTCTAGGTTTCACAGCCTCTGGGGTCTGTCCCATGCACCAGCACCTTGCCAGCTCTTCCTTGGTTTCTTTCTTTCACTGACATGAGTATTATCTGCTCGCTTTTCTTGTACTTACTCCTTTTCAAAAAAAAAAAAGCGTATTAAACAGGTACCCAAAGGACTAACATTGTCCCAGTTCATCAGAGAAACGGGTGCTGGGGTTGGCAACCTTAATTAGTCGCCTTAATTAGCAAGAGTCCTCAACGGTGAGGGAGGCTGTGAGCCACCTTCTGGGGCAGCCAGCACCAAGGACAGAATGGAGCAGGGTGGGTGCCTGGCATTGGCACTGGTTAAAACGCCGCCTGGGACGCCTGCATCCCGTCAGAGGCCTGGGTTTGGGTCTTGGCTCTGCTCCCGATACAGCACACCTGGGAGGCAGTGGTGATGGCTCGAGCAGGTGCAACCCTGCCGCCCACATGGGAGACTGGAGCGAGTTTGCAGCTGCTGGCTTCAGGGTGGCTCAGTTACGGCTGCTGGGGGCTCTCGGGGAGCCAACAGGTGAATGGAGGATCTTTACTCTCCTTTCTAAGTGAATAAGAACAGAAAGCATCAGTCGCGTCAAAGAGGCGGCCACTGGAGACTTACCTAGTGGCCCGTTCTGAGATCCGCACTTCCAGTTTGTGGCCATCCACGACGTGACCCTAAGAGAGAAGACATCACAGCTCACACCCCACCCTCACCTGCACCCCACCCCCACCAGGGCTCCCCAGGTGGGCAGGCAGAGGGGCAGGCTGGAATTGGGAACAGCACGGCTGAGAGCCAGGCGGCAGCTGCTTGTCAGAGACCCCGCCCTAGAATGTTCCCTTGAGCCACGCGCAGGCCTTGACCGCCGTGCATCCCAGGGACACATACTTCCCCGCCATTTAGAAACATTTTCAGGAAGGGGAGCCCCTTAGTGCTGGCCTGCGGAGTTCAGTGCAGTTTGTCTGCTCTTTAAAACCATCAAAGTGCAGTGTGGTTGCACCCAAGGCTGGTTCTAATGCCAGTTCCTGATGGCAAAACTGGCGTTTTAGGACAACCAGCCTTGAACCTCCCCTGCGTCTCCCGTCAAATGCAGCGCTGGGCTGCGCACGAGCCGTTCCTTGTGAGAACGTGCACGCGTGCGCACACGCAGCGACTCAGAAGGGAAGGGCCCTCCGCATCGGCAGAACCAAACCTGGATGAAGAGACTACACGTCATCTAGCAAGGACGCTGGACGTCCAGTGGCGACAGCACTGCCTCGTGCCCTGGGACGCGGGGCGTCCGTGAAGGCAGCGAGCCCACCCTCTCAGGCCGAGGTTGGCTGCTTGGGGCGGTGCCGATCCCTCCAGGGGGCTGGGTCCCCATCTGGCCCGGCACCTCCTCCTCTGTCTGAGGACACTGCTGCGCCTACTTCCAAACAGCCGTCGGCTCAGCTCCCTTCTCTCCTCCTGCACTGCCCCGACCTGCACCCCGGCCCGGGTGTCTGAGCGGTCTCCCCTGCCCCCCTCCCCAGGTACTCTCCATGCGGCAGTCACAGCAGCTGTCCGGAAGCATGGGTCGGATCTTCCCCCGTGTGCTCAGAGCCCTCGCCACCTGAGCACGCACCCCAGTCCTTGAAATGGTCTGTGAGGTCCGGTTCCCGAGACCTCACTGAACCACCTCGTACCCCGACCGCCCCTTCCAGGCTGCGTCTCCCGTCTGAGATCTGCTGCTCAGACCAAGCTCATTCCTACCGTACAGGCCCTGCCTCAGGCCCTTTGCACGTGCTGCTCCCAACCCCTAGATGGTTTCCCCTCCAAATCCCTGGGTAGCTGACTTCTTGCTAATCCAGGGTCGGCTCCCTGTCAGCTCCTCGGAGACCTGTACGCTGACCCCACAGTCTGAGGCAGCACCCCCCCAAGCTCACGGCCTGGTCTTGCAAGCCTGTATGGCTTCAGTGGTCCACGGCCTGTGTGCCCCACCAGGAGGGGACGAGCGAGTGGTCTCCCCCACATGTAGCACAAACCAGGCCCTCAAACCACTGCCGGGGAAGGAATGCATGACCAGGAGTGGCCACGGAGGGCTGAGAACGGGTCTTCACTTCAGTGGGGAACCACAGCCCCTAGGGAACTGGCCAGAGGAACTGGCGCAGGAACACGTGGGCCGCTGGCCGCAGGGGCTGCCGGGGAGAAGCCCGCTTTACCTGAAGCTGCTTGAGGGCTCTGTCGGCCTGCTCCGGCTTCCGGTACTCCACAAACCCAAAGCCCATGGAAAGCAGCTCTCCTGCAAGACAGAGGCAAAGTGCACCCGTGCGGTGGGCTGGCAGGCACAGGCCCTGGGGAGCGGGCTCCGGCGGGACCCCGGCGGGCGCCCTGCCTGACTCCCGCTTCTTTTCACGCCCATCTTCATTCCCCAAAAGACCCCGCTCCCGGCTGGCCACGAGTACTCGTCATCCTGACGAATCAGCCGCCAGGTTAGACGGCTGCCACCTGAGGCCCCGCTGCCGATTAATTAATAGATGATTGACATGCCAATTAACTTCCTAATAGAATTCCGCCTTTGGGAGGGAGCGGGAAGCAACGGGATGACCACTGCTGTGACAGCAGCACGACCTCTCCGGGGCAGTGCCCTGCTTGCGCACGTAAAGCACACGACGCCCAAGCGCAGGGAAGGCAGAGGTGCCCAGGCTGCGTCCGCCCAGGCACTGCTGACCATGCGTCAGCCAGGACGCCTGCACGGGGAAGGCGACTGCGTGATTCCCCCGACCCAGCGCCCTCTTTCTAGGTAGCGAGCAGCCGGGGTTCCGACAGCAAGCGTTCTCTGCGCAGATACCCAAAACCTCCCACCAGGACGGGAGGTGGAGGGTTAGTGGTGCTGGGCAGGTCTGGTGCTTAAAGTGCATTAAGATTATGGGAAAGGCAACCATAGGAAAGTCAAGTTCATCTCCAAGTCACCCCCTGCTCCTCCCTCTGCCCAGAGAGGCTGCCCCTCCCGACAGAAGGCAGCAGCGGGGCTCCCAGCCTCGAGGTTGCCTGTGGGATTGGCCACAGCCTGGAGGGCAGAGGAGGCGGGGCTGCAATGCTGGTTCCTGCTCCACCCCGCCGCCATGGCCATGTTCAACACAGCCTCGGCTCCTGCTGGCTCTTCTGTGGCTCCAAGTCTCTGCTGAACTCTGGCCGTGCCACTTCCTGCCCATGAGCCTTCCGGTTTGGCAGGGGAAGGGCACTCCTGCCACGTGACCTGTGGCCGGGACATCCCATGGTGCCATGGAGTGGCCCACCCCTCGGCCCCTGCGTTCCGAGCGTCTCCAGCGTTCCCAGCTGAGCGCGTCTCTGCTTCCTGAGTGGCCACTTGGTCTAGATCTCCCCACCCGTGAGGGACAGCCGGTGCTCAGGCTCTCCTGAGAAGGGGTGTACATGTGAAGAGTTGTGGCGACCTGGGGAGACCAGATGACTGTTTCTACGGCATGGACAGAGCTCCCAACGGGCAGGGGTGGGCTCCCTAGGGTGAGACCTCTGGCCAGCAACCCTGTGGCCTGGACAGCGCAGGTGCCTTCTGCACTCCAGTGGAGTCCTGAACCCAGCGGCTGTGCCCCTCCAGGCACCTCCCTCTGTAGAGCCTGTTCCCCCACCCTGATGTGAAGACCCCTGTGCCAGGCTCCGGTCCCAGCAGAGCCCCACTACACGTGCACCTTACGGCGCTGCTGCCACCAGCTCAGGCATCCAAGCAGCCCGTGAGCACCCCCGCAGCAGGCACTGCACTAACGTGCTCACTGCCGGGCAGGCCCAGGGGTTATCTGAGGATCCCCCCCCCCCCACCGGCAGCAGGCATCACCGTGCGGACCAGCACTCCGCCTGGAGCAGGTGCTCAGGTTCCCACCAACCCTGCCGCAAGGAAGGGACTCAGGCTGAGAACTGCACGGTCAAGGGCCCTCCCCGCTCGTTCTCTGCAAGAAGCCAGCAGGGGCAAGAGACCCCAGGACAATCCCCGAGGCTGAGGGCTGTCTCTCCCCGGCACTCACTGGCCAGGGAGGTGGGTGGCTAATGGCTCGTGGAACGTTCCAGGTCTGTATCTGGAATCTCTCCTCGGGAAGGGAAGTGGGGACTCCTGAGGCTGGTCATCTCGTGCTGTTTCCCAAGGACTGCCCAGAGCACAGCGGTGCTACAGAGCGGGGTCAGCGTTCCCCGCCCATCGCACAGCCCTGCTCCACGCCCATCCACAACAGACCAAGAAGGGCCTAGAGTCAGGCGGGCAGGTGGGCCTCTAGCGAAAGCCGGCCTCCCAGCCCCGCCCAGATTGAGTCACCGGCAGTACCTGTTTTGCTCTTCTTCCTGGAGACGGAGCAGCTCCTCACCATTCCCACTTTGGAAAACACCTGGAAGAGAACGGGTGCGCTCATCACCCACACTTCCGGCTGATCCCGCACCTGTGCAGGCCACACACCCAACTCCAGGCACCGCAAAGGCGGGGAGAGAACAGGGCTGACACCTGGACGGGGCTCGTGGGGGCGGGCCTGGCCTACGCCCTTCAGTGCATTCAGGAGCCCTGGGGTGGGCCTCAACCTGCCTCCTCATTTCTCAGGAGGAAAAACTGAAGCTCAGAATAGCCAGACAGAGCACAGAGCTAGAAAGGCATCGGGCTGAGATGGACAGCCAGGAATCAGGGTGCGCCAGCCCCGGCTCCAACCACTGCCGAGGCAAGGCCCCTCTGGACCACTCTCCCTACCCCGATGTCTCTGCTGACATGTCTCAGCCCCCTACGACATGTGGGTGATGAGCAGTGGCCCGCTTCAAGTACCCTGGACGGAGCCTTTGGGTCCTGTGCTCCCCAGCTGGGCTGGCTTCCTGCTCCAGCCACAAAGAACTGGGGCGTGGTGCAGAGCAGGATCTGCTGCAGGGCAGCAGGGCTCTCCTGACCCCCACGCCTGGGGCTAAAGCAATTTTTAGCACATTGTGGGGTGGGTGTTGTGGCTCAGCAGGTTAAGCCACCACGTGGGACGCCTACATCGTCACTGGAGTGCCTGGGACTGCGCCCCGCAGATTCCAATCCACCTGCCTGCTACTGTGCATCTTGGGAGGCTGAGATAGTGGCTCTAGCACCTGGGCCCCTTCCCCCCAAGTGGGAGGCGCAGACAGAGTTCCAGGGTCTTGGCTTTGGCCTACTCCGGTCCCAGTCTTGGCCATTTGGAGAGTGAACTAGCAGAGAGAAGATCTCTCTCTCCCTCTCTAACTCTGCCTTTCCAAACAAACAAACAAACACAAACACCCCACGAAAACAAAGCCACAAGCTGGCTCAAAGCCATTTACCTTTCAGCCACTGTTAGTGTGTTCCTCTGTCTAAAAGCAAAACATACAGAGTGCTGGCTCCTTCCTTGAGATTCTTGCTAACACACATTGCAGCAGGCAGAAGCGGTGGCTCAAGTACTTAGGTCTCTCCTCTCACGTGGGAGACCCAGAGGAGTTCCAGGCTCCTGGCTTGGGCTGCTGTGGTGGGCATTCGAGGAATTAACCAGCAGATAGGAGCTCTCTGTCTCCCTCTCTCCACCTCTCAAATAATAGCTTTTTAAACTAAACTTAGGAAGGAAAGCTACGTAGCCCGGTCTTGGGTCACCGGTTACAAGTGCATCTGCTCCTGACACAATGCTGCTGCGCTGCCAGGCCACGTCCACTGTGGGGCCGCCCTGCCACTCGACAGAGGATGGCGGGCGCTCACCTCCCGCCTCCCTCCCACTCCCCGTCTTTGCGCCACACTCCTGCCGCTGGCACTCTGGACAAACCCACCCACAGAATTTTAGAGCTCAAAGGAGTTTCCAGAAATCAATCTCTTAACTCTGTGGCCAGCTTCCTTGCCAGAACAGGTTCACAGCCGTGAGCCTGCTGCCATCCACTCGCTCATTAGAGAAGAACCCATCAGGCGCTCCGTGCCGGCGTCTCCCTGCTGGAGCTCCCAGGCCAGCAGGGGAGCCTCAGCGCCCGGTTCTCTGGACGCGGGAGCTGCGTTTCCTCATCTCTGGCCGGATTCCCCTAGCAGCCTCCTCCCGGCCTACGGCGGTGCCCTGCACTAACCCCAGACCTTCCAGGGTGCCTGGTCCTCTTCCCCCTCCAGCCAGAACCCTGCGGGGCTGGAGCGCCTCTGCGGTCTTCTCCTGCTCCACCAGCCAAGGGGCTTGAGGGGACCCTGACTTTGAGGGCTGTACCTCACCGAAACAACAGGACCCCCCCTCCCCAACTGCAGCATCCAAGCACGGACACGTCCATCTCAGCACGCACGCTGCCCAGACGTTCTGAGGTGCCTCGGGCAGGGTCCATGAGAGCACCCCAGGGCAACACTGCAGCTCCTGTGTCCGGCTGGAGTCGTCATGTTGACGGCTGTGCCATTCCGGGTTGGCACGAGCGGTGCTCCAAACCCAGTAAGCACAGTCACCATGACACAGGCCGGAGTCCCACCCGACACCCCCCTCATGCCCAGTGCTCACTCACCTCCTTCAACGTCTCCTCTGTTGTGCTGAAGTTGAGATTCTTAATAAACACAGTGCACCCTGGGAGGCTCTCCTCCTCCTCCTCCTCCTCCTCCTCTTCCTCCTCCATCTCGGCTGACGGGCCATCTGCTCCTCCCTCTGATGGCTGTTCACCTTCTGGGCTCTCGCTGTCCGGCACTGGCCACCCCCATGAAAACAAACAAAAACCAGACAAGGCTCTTCAGTGCGCTCTAACCCCCAAAGCCCAGGGGCCTCCAGCTCACAAGCTACTAAGGCCACGGGCCTGTGCGCGGGCAGGCACGTTGGGAAGGACAGGGACACAGGGCTGTGCCTGGTGAGAGCGAGGTGGGGGTGGGGAGAGAGCGCGTGGCTTACCCCATGCACCAGCTGTAAAGGGTAGAGGACTGGGAGAGGGGCAGAGGTTAGGACGTCCCCTGGGATGCCTGCATCTCACGCCAGAGAGCCTGGGTCGGAGTTCTGACTCTACCCCCAACTCTGGCTACTGCTAATGCACCCCCTGGGATGTAGCAGTGATGGCTCAAGGACCGGGGGCCCTGCCACTCCCCCGGGAGACCCAGGTGGAGTTCTTGATGCCTGGCTTCCGCCCATCCTGGCTATTACAGGAATTTGCGAAGTGAATCAGTAGATGAGATCATCTCTCTCTCTCTCTCTCTCTCTCTCTCTCTCTCTCTCTCAACAAAATGAAAGTGAGAAATTAAAAGAAAATATAAGGGATATGAAAAAGACCAAAACCCATGAGCCTTAGATTGAACTAACCCACACTAACTTGAACTTTACGATAAATTGCTATGTGAACTGCTTCCTTCAACTATGAACTGAAGTGAAATACTATTCCCCCCAAAACACGGCACTTAGTAAACACTCGAACTCAACAGCAATGTAAAATTCTTCGAAAACTGTAGAATGAGAGCAAGACCCAGAACATTCTAAATCCCCCCTGAATCTAAAGGATGTTGCGCTCCACTGAAATTCTCCATCATCTGTTACTTCAGGAAGCAAACATGGAGGAGCGTGGCTCCTCCGTCAGCATCACGCATAGTGATGGAAAACTCGAAAGTCCCCTGCCAGACTAGAGAGGAGGTGAGCGAGAGCGCCATCCCGGCTGGGGAGAACGGGGCCAACGAAACCGACGCCGCACACCGCGTCTGACATCGAAAAAGAGATACAGAAAACTCCCACGTGCTTCCACTCAAGGTCTGTGCAGCACACGAGAAAACAACGCGAGTGGGCACACACACGGAGACCCGCCGGAAACACACGCAGGAAGTGCCCCGGCCGTTTCTGGAGAACTGGGTGCTGGGGGTGGGGGGTCGCACTGCTGCCGCTATCCAAGAGGGAAGGCCCAGGTGAGACGCAGTGGGCGAGGGGTGCAGGCAGGCGGAGGCCGGGTGGAGCCCCGGCAGCCCCGGGGCCACGTGCGTGGGTGCCATCTGAGGGGGAGGGAGCTCAGGAAGTCGGGGACAGGGCAGCATCGTAATCTTTGTTGAGATCCAGCAGCAAGCAAATGGGTTCAGTTTGTTTCCACCTCCCCAGTGTCCCCAAGTCACATGACCAGGGCAGGCGACCGATCCTCTCTCCACAGGCGAGGCCTCGGAAGCTACTGCCACCAGCACCCAGGCTGCACGCTCACCGCCTCACTGCCCGAGTGGGTGACCACCTCCCCTCCCTCCAGGAATGCTCAAAGCCCACACACCCGGGCTGGCAGACGGCTTTCCGTGGGGACCAGCCGCGTCTCCCCCACACACCTTCACTCAGCGGCTGCAGCAGGAGGGCTCCCAGGGGTTCAATCTGTCTCCCCAGGCACCCAGGCGTCTCCCCTGCCCACAAAGCCGCAAGCCTAGCGCTTTCAAGTCCTCATTAAGCTTCCGTTACTTTGTCAGAAAACAACCTTTTCAAGTGCCGACGGAAACAGCCACAGTGACAATGTTATCCCTTGAACACCGGAGGACACACAGCCTGTCCCTTCCCCCCCGCAGCTCCTGCCCCAGGCCAAAGAAGAACACCGCACAGGGCCGCCTCCCTGTCTGAGAAACCCACACAGCTCAGCCAACAGGAGACCCCACGGTGGGGCCGTCTGTACTCAAGTCCAACGTCACAGCTGCTAGAACGGGAAGCAAAGCTATGCAAAGCTACGACCTTTAGCTGCAGCGTGTGCCCGCCCTCTCCGGCTGTCCTTGGCATTGGATGTTTCAGAGACTAGAGAGAGGAAAGGGCGCTGAGGAGTGTGCCTGGGCCACACCACCTCATTCAGGACCACAGGGGCCACACGTGAAGCCCAGGGATTGCCCGGGAGGCCGCTGTCTGAAGCCCAGGCAGCTCCAGGTCGGCGAGAGGTCCCTGGGAGACAGACCATTCATGGAGAAAAGAGTGGAGGGGACGCATGGGGACCAGGAGGCTGAAGGCCAGCTTACGGGACAGCCCCTTCTTGGCCCTGGCTAACAGCTGTGTTGGAAGGTCAAGCGGTGTGGTCAGCCATCCAGATCTCTCCAGAGAAGTTGAAAAGGCAGCCTTTTATGGGGAAATGCAAGGTCTTTAAATCCTGGCAATGTAACTGAACGGCATGTGGCTTCCGCACTGGGCCATGGCCAACAGACGGTGCCGCTCACCAGGCCTAGGATTGCTCCTTGCACACAGAGCGCTGCCAAACCCTGGCCACCTTCCCTCCTCCTGTCCCGGCCAGCGTCGGGAGCTCGCAGCCTCACAGGGCAACAACCCACCAGCCCAGCGGCCCTCGGCGGGCAGCACTGGCCCCCCCCGCCTCCCCGCGCAGGAGCAGGCCGGGTGGACGCCAAAGAGCTCGCTCACACGTTACATGGTCATCGGCAGCTGCCAGCGAGGTGCCCTGTGTGGACTTAGGGACAGCGCTGGGCTGAGTCAGGTGGGGGTCGGCAACCCAGGAATCCAGGTCAGCCTCTGTCAGTCCCGGCTCAGGAAGCAGACACCTGGCCCTGAGGACAGCTGGGAATTGAACTGGGGACGTGGGTCTGGCCTGCCATGGGGCTCAACTGGTTCCTCCAGCGTCTCCATTACCTCTGGGGACGTGTGGCTGGAGATGATAGATGCTTCGAGGCGGCCTGGCCTTCCTCCAATAGCAGCAGTCCCAGCTGACCCAGAGGCTGCCGGTCTTCCCTGTACCCCTGTGCTCCCAGCAACAGCCTCCCCGCACCCAGCACTCCCCCACCCTAGACCACTCAACGAGACCCGCGTGTCAGCCATCAGACTGCTGAGCGCAGGGGGCCTGCGGCCGCAGCCCAGATACTGCTAGCGCAGAGCTGCGGGATGCCAGGGCAGGCGGGCCGGCCCCCGTGAGTGACAGAGGCCCCTGTCTCCATAAAGTGGAATTTAACAAGAACTGCAAACACGCACTCCCACACTTCGCTGGGCTGCACTGAAATACAAGCACCCACTATTTCACCTGCACTCCTGGCCCAAGGCACTGACTGCGGTTGCCGTTGGGACAGCTAATGGCCTTCTCACTGGACCCCTCTTATTACCAGCGTCTCTGACCTCATCTCTGGTTCTTCTGTCCAGACCTGAAACATTCTAACCGCCGAGCCTGCCAACCCCACCCCGACCACAGGGCCTTTGCACTTGCTGTCCCTGGCCCAGTGTACCCTCAGGAAGCACTTCCTGTCCAAAGTGGCTCCAGTGGTCTCCACCTCAACTTGCCAACTGCTGATCTCCTGCTCTCAGAGCCCGCAGCTCATTCTGAAACCCCCTTGCTTACGGACCTGCTCTACATCCCCAATTATGTGGGCAGCTCACTGAGGCCAGAGCCCAGCAGCACACGTAGACGATGAACAGGGTGGGCACTGGCCTGTGCCCGGGCAGCAGCGGCATCCTAAGGAGGTCCGGCTCTCGCCCTGTGTGGCCCTGCACACCACGCACCCTCTCTGCAGCCTGTGTGCAGGCAGACTTGTGCGTGGAAGCCTGTGGGAACAGCTCTGAGAAACGCCACTTGTGTCACCCTGCACATGAGCCGCCTGCCCCACTCCCGGCTAGGCCTCGCGGAGAGACGCAGGGGACCCCTAACCCCGTGAGAGGCAGAGTCCTTTCCAACCTTGGCTGCAGGTTCCGAGGTCAGCCGGTGCCACACCTCCGAGCCCTGCCGGCCACCCTCTGCAGCCCGAGTCACTAGGCCAGGCCCTGCTGTGGCCCACGCCGGTGTCCAGAGAAGCGTGGAGAAGGCTAAGGCCAAGGGTCATATTTCAAAACACTTCTGCTGTTGGCCCCAGGCAGTGAACAAAAAGAAGACACGGGAAAGGCAAAGACAAGGTGCAGGGACTCCACCAGATGTGCGCCAACAGAACCCCCGGAGCCCGGGGAGCAGGCTGCAAGGCAGGCTGGGCTGGAGGGGGCTGGGCGAGGCGGGGGACATGCGCGGCGTCTGTAGTTCGCACAATGAAATCCAGTCACGCAGCCCGCCGGGGCTCTATTCTAATCAGGCCGCAGAATTTACTGCGCCCCTCCCCTGGCGGGCTCTGGGCGCAAGCTGACAGCGCCGACTGTTATCAGTTGCAAGCAGCTTTGCAGGTCCTCCCCCCACTCGGAGCCCTTTATCTGGAGGTGAGGGTCTCGGTGGTGGGGAGATAAAACACGCTGTCCCCCTCCCTCGAGGCTGGGCCGGAGACTGGGAGCGCTCAGCAGTCAGGACGGGTGGTTAAAAAAAAAGGAAAAAGAAAGAAAAAGCAAGCGCTCCGTCCATTCCTCCTTTGGAGCAGAGAAAATCCAGTCCCTGGGGCAGCGGAGTCGCCCCCTCCCATTCCCTGCCCTCCCAGCCTCCTGCTTTGGGGAGCTGGGGACGCTTGGGGACAATGCACAGAGGGCAGGGTGGGGGGCAGCAGGTCGGGGGAGGGCTCTTTTGTGCCTTACGTGTGAGAAGGGGACAGAAGGACCACAGGGGGCCTACAGATGAGCTCTGCGGGAACTCACGGCACAGACCCATGCCACTTCCTGGGCCCACATCTGCCAGCAGCTGCCTACAGACCTATCCGAGGAGCCAGTCGGCCCCTGGGCGGGGTGGGGTGGGGAGTTTGTGGGAATGAGACTGCCAGCCCCGCAGCATCACGCAGGAAGTCAGAGGAGCCAGGGGACCACGACACGCCGCAATCCAGGGCACTCCCAGTCGTCCCTGGCCAGCCCAGCTCTGGGGAGGAGGGTGCGCATGTGCATGTCTCTTGGCCACCTCTTTGCTGAGTGCCACCAGCACGGGAGAAACAGAGACTCACGGGCAGTCTCACCACATCCCCCAGCTGCCCCGGAGGTCTGTGTGGCACCCGCCCCCAGAAAACACTGGCAGCCTGCCGGTCCCGGAACTGTAGGAGGACAGCATGGCGGCTCACCGGAAGTCACCGCTCTGTGCCTGGAGCCGGGCGGCCCCTGCCCTGGGTTCACCTGCCTGCTGATGCCCTCCTGGCTGTGGGGTGGGCAGGGTGGGCCAGGCGCCCACTTGCCAGGGGATACTCTGGCAGAAGTGAACTTGCTCACGATGCAACTCCAGGACTAAGACCCTGAGGGGAAATAAAGGCTCATGGCGGCTGGGGGGATCCCGGAGCTGCCCTCCTGCTTCGAGGGCCAGCGCCACCTTCACCGTGCACACACACACCGTGAGCCTGCCTAACTAGGATGGCGCTGCACACTAACCACGCCCCTCCGCTGACACAGCAGGGACAGCAGGCCAGTCTGTCCACTCCCAGGACCCCTCCTCACACCGCCGCCCTGTGCCTGGGTGCCCGGCGGTGAAGGCCTCTGTCTGGCTGAGGCAGATGAGAAACAAGCAAAGCAGGCAGACGAACAGAAGACGTCCACGCTGTGCCCGTGTCACCGAAGAACACAGCCGCGGCCTGTGCAAAGGGGTCATGCGGGCGGCGCGGCCCAGCGACCGACCCCTGCCCTGCCCAGAGCAGGCCGAGGCAGCTTCCGCGAATCTGCTGTCGGGGCCATGACCCTTCTGTCTGAGAGGAGAGCGCACCTGGGGCCAAAACCCATCACCCAGGTTCAAATGCAGCCTCTGAAGTGACAAGGTAGCAGGTGACCTGGGGGTGATGGCTAGTGAGGGACAGACGGGAACAATGCAAAGAGATTCTTTTTCTTTTTTTTTGATGGGAGGTTAGAAGGGACTCCTAATGGGTGTGCACCACACTGGCCCAGCAGCAAGGGCGGGGGAGAGCTCTGGAGCGGACCCCTAATCAACCCAATGGCCACAGAAGCCTCGGAATCGTGCAAGAGCAACGGAACGGAAGACATTCCCTTCAGCGTAGCAGAGGGCTTCCGGGACAGAGGGCCCAGGGCCTTGTGCGGGCCGGTCCTGACCCCCAGGCAAGGAGATGCGGCCAAGGCCCAGGGTTTTATGTGAAGTCTGCAAATGTAAATGAGGATTAAGTCTTAAATCTGACCATTCTGTTTCTAGCTGCACCTCCCCCACACCTTTGGCTATAAAATGTTCTCTTTTACAAGAACAGGACAGAGGCTGTGGCACAGCAGGTAAAGCTGCAGCCTATGATGCTGGCATCCCATACAGACACCGGTTCGAGTCCTGTCTGCTCCACTTGCAATTCAGCTCCTTGCTTAGGACCTGAAAAAAGCAGTAGATGAAGCTCCTGCTCCTGGCTCTGGCCCAGCTAAGCCCTGCCCGGCCATTTTGGCCACCTGGGGAGTGAACCAGTGGATGGAAGACCTCTCTGTCTCTCCCTCTCTGCAAATGTGACTTTCAAACAGATACATCTTAAAACAACAAAAACATGGGGCTGGTGCTGTGGCGCAGTGGGTTAATGCCCTGGCCTGAAGAACTAGCATCCCATATCGGCACTGGTTTGAGACCTGGCTGCTCCACTTCCGATCCAGCTCTCTGCTATGGCCTGGGAAAGCAGGAGAAGATGGCCCAAGTCCTTGGGCTCCTGTACCTGGGTGGGAGACCCGGAGGAAGCTCCTGGCTTCGGATCGGCACAGCTCCGGCCTTTGTGGCCAGCTGGGGAGTGAACCATTGGATGGAAGATTCCCTCTCTCTCTCTCTCTCTCTCTGACTCTCCTCTCTCTGCGTAACTCTTTCAAATAAATACAAATAAATCTTTAAAAAAAAAAAAACAAAAACAAAAAACAGTGCAGATAGTAGACAGAGGCCTTATCTCTCTTTAGATTCTTACTTCAATAGACTAAACAGTCAGTGACCCAATCAGACATGTGTGGGGGGTGGATTACTGCTGACAGGTTAAATCTTCACACGGTGTAAAACGACCTCCAGCATCCTTTCTGACACTTCTAAGGGTCCTGATTCTTAGAAGCGGTCAAGTCCCCAGATCAGGTGGTTGCCTGTGTGAGTGTGTGTGCAGCGAGGTGGGCACACTGTACCTAGGGGACATCGGGGAATGTCTCCCAGGTTCCCACCATGACTGGGGGCACTGCTGCACCAAAGTGGGGAGTCTAGGGATGCCAATTTTCTGAATTGTCCTGCCCAAGCTGCAGCAGCAACCCTCACCCCAAAGGTGAAGCATTACAGGAGGTGGGGCCGCACAGTCTGGTCCCCAGCGGCTGCGGCTGCCTTTTCCTGTCCAGCCCTCGCAGTCACTGGACATCAGAGGGCCCTGTGCCACTCCAAGGACATGAGAAAACATCTCTCCCCCCGCCGCCCTCTTACGAAAATGAGAAGGCCGCTTTCTTTGGCTCGGTTCCTGTTCCTGAGAGACTACAGTCTCTGTCCCCTGCACACACTGCTCTGGTTTGGATGTGGTTTGAATGACCCCAGGGTTCACGTGCTGGACGCGTGGTACCCATGAGGACCTGGGAGAGGCAATGGCATCACTAAGAGGTGGGGCCTGGGGGGAGGAGCTGACACAGTTCTTGTGGGACCCTGGTGAGCTCTCCTGAGAGGGCTGTTATGTAAGAGCAAGACCCAGCCTCCCCACACCCCTCCCCACGCCTCTGGCTTCCGGTCCTGCCAACCGACGCAGCCAGGAGGCCCTCGCCACAGCTGAGTGGCACCGGCATCACCCTCCTTGAAGTGTGAGCTCAACAGACCCCTTTGCTTTATAAGGTTCCCCAGCCTCCGGTGCTTTGTTACGGCAGCAGAAACTAGATCAATGCAGGGACTACAAAGCGGCCGCCTGAAGTCGACGCGCTATTGTTCCTAAGGACAGGTTAAGAGACTGCACCACCCGAGCTGGAGGCCCGCGGTGTCGAAAACACACCAACAGCTTTGAACCAGTGGACAGTGCAGGACGCGCTCCCTGTGGCCCTCCCCTCCCTCGCTTGCTGCCGCAGGCATCCTGAACGCAGTCTGCGCTCTTACCGGCTTCCGGCTCCACCGCGTCCTCTGCTGCAGGTTCCGCGGGTGCGTCTCGGCGCCCTTTCTTCTGTGGAGCTGCACCGGAGAAGACGCCGACCGGGGCCCACTCCAGGTACAGGGGGACGTGGTGGAACTGTGCAGACAGGGCGATGGGAGGTGTCATCCTGGCACCCAGGCCCACACACAGGTCGGGATGCCGAGTCAGGGACGGAGTGCCGGCCGCCTGATGCCCGAGAACAGCCCCAGGCCCTGGGAGGGGCTGGGTCTCTGCTGAGCACAGGGCACCCTAGGACCCCATCCTCTCCACTCATCGTACGTAATGGGCAGTGGGAGAGAGAGCGGAATCATGGACGAGGTGCAGCTCCCTGGGGGAGTATGGGACAGCCACGAACAGAACATGCATGCTCTCGCCACACGTCCAGACGCACAGGCAGGGCCCGCCCCTCCCACGTGCCAGGTCTGCACCAGCTCCCTGCCCCTCCCACAGGAGGCTCCTCCACATGGAGGCCGCCTGGGGCCGCCCTACCTTGGAATAGGCCAGATGTCTGAAGGCCTTGCGGGCTTCCAGGGGCTCCAGGAACTCCACGATGGCTGTGACGCCGCCTTCGGGCAGCAACACGCGGCCCAGGCTGCCGAAACGGCCGAAGGTCTCTTGCAGCTCGGCCGCCAGGGTGCCCGCCGGGAGGTTCTTGGCCAGGATCACCGTCTTGCTCCGCTCGCCTGCAGCCTGGGGATTGGGGACGAACACCCACGGCACCTCAGGGTGGAGGCCACAGTCCCGATCTGTGGTGGCTCCCAGGCGAGCCGCCCCTTCTGGAACTGCAACAACAAGGCTCCTGCCCTTTCTGGCAGCTCTGGGGAGGAGCCAAGGCCCAGGGCTCTGGAACTGGGCCCCACGGGTCAAATCCCAGCCCCCACTTCTGAGCCATGCGGGTCCCAGTGGTTTCTAACCTCAGCCCCCAGCGGGAGGTCCCAGTGGTTTCTAACCTCAGCCCCCAGCAGGACCTCCCGCGGAGCCCAGCCAGGCTTTGGCCGTGTCATGCACCTCCCGGCGAGGAGCTTACTGTGGAACGCAGATGGCTCGCTGCCGCAGGTGTGGGAGGCAGGAGGTATTGAGGACTTCACACCCCTGGGGCAGCCTGCGACTCTCGGGAGGCGGGGCTCTGTCCTGGACCCAGCCCCTGTCTCCCAGTGGCCACCGCGCACAGAGGCCCACCTGGCTGAAGGAGTCCAGGCTGACGCCATTGTCCAGGAGGAAGCGCCGCACTTCCTGCACCAGCTGGGTCTCCCCGAGGGCCACGCGCACGGCCACGCTGCCCTTGGTCTCCTGTGGGAAAGAAGAGCAGGTGAGCAGGGCCCCCAGGCTCCCCACAGGCGGAGAGGGAGGCTTGGGAGGAAACGGGTTCCATCCGCGCCCTCGTGTGGCCGCTCATGCCCCAGTGGCGCTGGCTTCCACAGGTTGCATGGCAAATCCAGGCCCCCGGGACCCCTCTCCAGCTCTGCCGCCCCCTCCCCCTACTATATTAAATAAATGTATTTTTACAATTAAGGTTTTTTTTTGTTTTTGAAAAATGTGGCCATTTGGGGTCAGCGTTGAGGTGTAGCGGGTTAAGCCACTGCCTGTGATGCCAGCAGCCCATGTGGGCACTGGATGAGTCCCTGCTGCTCGACTTCCTACCCAGCTTCCTGCTGATCTGCCTGGGAAAACAGTGGCAGCTGGCCCGAGTGAGACCCGGATGGAGCTCTGGGCTTCTGCCCTCGGTAGGATCCCTGGCCACTGCTGCCATCTGGGGAGTGAACAAGGGTCTGTGTAGCTTGCATTCTACTTCTGCCAGCGCTGACTGTGAGTGTCGGGGGAGAAGGGCTACAGGGCAGTGGTGGGCTCTCACGGGTGCCAGCAGATGCCCCTCATTGACTGGCTGAACCTCACAGCCCCAGGTGGGCTCAGAGGAACGCCAAGGCTGCGTGACTGGAGCTCCGTGCACTTCAAAGAAGGTGAGCAGACACACAGGATGCAGAGGGCAAAGTGCTTTCGTATACTTTCCACTTCACAGAGTACACCCGCACTTGACACATGGAAGGCCTTGCACTTGAGGCTTCCTCCACAGCACGCGTCTTACTTTACACGCACGGGAAGCACGCAGCACACACTCACATGGTCGAACACTTGGCTCTTGGTGGCGTTGTACTTCTGTGCGATAGCGTCGGCCACGGCGTTTGGCCCCATGAATAGCGTGTTCCAGTTGTGAGAGCTGAGAGGCAGAGACAGAACAGGGAGGTCGCACCGTGGCCGAAGGAGGAGAAATGCACTCGTGGGCCTCCTTTCTCACTTCCCCGTCACAGGCTAAGGGTCCGGCGGCATCGCCTTGTGCCAGGGCTAAGCACTTAGTGGACATGCCCTCACGAATCCTTACAGGACTACAGTAGTAAGTGCTGGCACTGCTCTCCCCACTGTACAGACGACACTGAGGCTCAGCGCGGAGAACACGGGCAGACTGGGAAAGGCAGGGGTGGGGTCAGAGACCATGAATGGTGAATAAGGACCTGGAGCTGTTGGCCTTGTCCTTGGACTCCTTCTTCTTCTTGTAAGACGACGACCCCGGGGCATCAGCCTCCTCGCTGGCTTCCTTCTTAATGGTGGATGGCAACACGTGGAGCATCCTGCCCTGGAGGGGCGGGAGAGGAAGGGGCGAGGATGTCACATTCGGTCACGAGTCAGCTGACGGAGAAGGGGCGGGGGGGGGGCAGGCAGAAGGATCACACAGCCACTCTCACCCCCGTCACTGCGATGGGCCTGACACAGCCACACAAAGGAAGCTCTGGAAGCTATTCCTTGACGGGGAACACGGCAGCAGGCCCACCGCCCGCACGCCTGCGCCCTGCTCGCCCTGCACCAGGAGTGAGCCCACGTGGGCTCAGTAACCTGTACTCGGGTGAATGAAAGGGACACGGAGACGCGGGGGCCTGGGATCGGGCAGGTGCACTAAGCACACTGCCTGTGGCGCTGGGAAAGTCCCGTCCGCTCTCTTCTGGCTGTTTCAGCACCACGTCAAAGGCCTGTCTTCACTCCTCTGCAAGCTACCACTTCTGGAGACGACTGACGTTTACCCATGCATCTGATGAGTGCTTGTGTGTGTGTGTGTGCCTACTGTGTGCCAGGCATGGTCCCAGCTGCCACAGCGAGAGAAGGGACCAGGCCATCCCTCTGCCCTTACCATGCTTCTCACCTACAGGAGCTCGTGCGTGGTGACAGCCCGGAGGCCACCGTGCATGCTCTTGGGCCCGAAATGTGATCTCCCTCTCCCTCTCCCACACACACACACCTTTGTCCTGTCCCTGCGCCCTGGGACCACTCAGCCACCCCCGGCAGCCTCACCTGGAACACCTGCCCGTCCACTCCCGCGTAGGCCTTCACCGCGTGCTCGGGCATCATGAAGGTGACGAAGGCAAAGCCCTTGGGCTTCTTGGTCAGGCTGTCGATGGGGTAGTGCAGCTCCGACAGGGGCCCTGGGGACAGGAGCACAGTCAGTCCCCTGGGCCGGGCCGGGCCTGTGCTCTGGGTGATAGCGTGCTGGGCACCATCAGATCGGGGGTCAGCCCTCGCCGCTTGGCCCAAGGAAAGAACGTGGCAGGTGCCAGCATGAGGCCACCTCAGAGGTCAAAGGTGCCACTCCCCAGCCCCACCCTGTGTGGCCTCTGCGAGCCTCGGTCTTCTCCCCCTAGGATGGCACCACTGGAGTAGCTCGCTCACGGGGCGGCCGCGAGGATTGAACACGTGTACAAGGAGGGCACTGAACAGCGCCTGCTTTGGTGAGTGCTACAGAAGGGTTTACGGCGATGTCGCCATACTCCAGTTACAGCGTGGGCCGCGCCCATCAGTTTCCACCCTGGGTCTCCGTCCTCCCACACTGCCTACTGGATGCACCCTCGCCTGTTGAGACTGGCCACGTAAGCCAGGGCGCCAGTCCAGGTAGAACTACCCAGCAAGGGCGACCGTGGCAGACACAGCCTTGGAGGTTCTGAGATGCCCGATGGTGGCCCTGTTCAGAGCCTTCCTGCCCCACAAGGCCCAGCCACGCACTTAATCCACCTCTCTGATCCTGCACCAGCCGCAGTGGCTGTGCGCTTGGGGAGCGCACGTTAGGCACCTGCTTGCCTGCTGCCACGCCCTCCAGGCCGCGCCCCTACCGTATTTGGAGAAGAGCTTCTCCAGGTCCTCTTCGGTGCTGGTGTAGGGCAGGTTTCGCACAAACAGCCTGCCGGAGTCGGCCAGGTCCTCCTCCTCCTCGTTCTCCCCGAGCGTGCGGCCCTGCCAGGGCCGGGTGCTGCTCTTCTGTGGCCCCTTTGTTGCAGGGACGGGCTTTTCTCTGAACACCTCGATGTAGCGGCCGCCTGCACAGGCACAGAAGTCAGCGCCCTGGGGGGACCCGGAACTCGCCAGCAGCTCTGGGACAGCAACGGCAGACTCTCCCCAGCTGCCCCCAGAAGCCACAGCACAGTGGCTGGTGATGGCGCCCAACACACGTTCTGTTGCCCACAAAGCCACTCATCTTGCCAGTGCAGCTCCAACTCCAGGGGGTGGCCTCCCTGGGCCTCCCCAAACCACAGAGACTTAGCCTTGAGTTCCCTGGTGCTGCTGGCTGGCCTCCCTGGGCCTCCCCAAACCACAGAGACTTAGCCTTGAGTTCCCTGGTGCTGCTGGCTGGCCTCCCTGGGCCTTCCCAAACCACAGAGACTTAGCCTTGAGTTCCCTGGTGCTGCTGGCTGGCCTCCCTGGGCCTTCCCAAACCACAGAGACTTAGCCTTGAGTTCCCTGGTGCTGCTGGCTGGCCTCCCTGGCAAAGGTCTCCTGTGGCCATGCAGCCTGGCATACAAACCAGCGTGTACACTGCCCCTGCACATCTGAGCAGGCGGATGCATCCTCCACGTGCATCAGGTGCCCAATAAACCCGACCGCCTGGCCTGCTGCTACCAAGGCTCCTGGGGTTCTCACCTAACACCCACATCTTCACGGGGGCCGGTGGCCAGATTGGAATCCCTCGTCTGTGCCAGGGTGGGTCAAAGTCGCACCCTTGGCTGTCGTTCCCGAGCTCTCCCGAGGCAGGACACGGCCTTCGTTGTGCATCCCGCCGAGCGCCCCGCCCCACGGGGCCAGCGCCTGCCTCCAGGCTTTTATGCCAATGCCCCCTCTCCGTGAGGCCCAAGCAGACGCGATGCTGTTCACAGCCAGGCCTCTTCCACCCCTGCCCACGCTGTGCCCTGCCCCGCCACACCGACTGCCCGCTCACTGCCCGTCTCTAGGTCACCTCCGGAGGCAGGGACCGCGCCTGTGTGCTCACTGCTGAGTCCCCTGCCTGCAGCAGCGACACGAACCTGGGGGGAAAGCCACGAAGCCAGCAGGCCTGCAACCTCCTGGCGTCCTTACCCATGTACTCCCTGTTGCATTTCAGGGCTTTCTTCACCTCTTCTTCGCTGCTGAAATCCACGAAGACGTACCCTGAGAGAGGAGCAGGATGCAGGTGAAGTGTGCAGGCCATGGGCGGACACCTGTGGGAGCCCAGGGGATGTCCCGCCCTGTGCAGGTGTGGACAGTGGGGCAAGCCTCTCTCCGCCACATTCCTGCACCGACGGCCTCCCTACAACGCACGCCCGACTCCCCTTTGCAGGGCTTGTTTGGTTGAGGAAGATGCTGGACGCGGGGTCAGAAGCAGCGGAGGCCTTGCTGCCTGCCCCCTGACTCTGGCCGCACCTGCTCGGTGCCGAGGTGCGGGGGGTGCGCCTGTGAGGAGTCTCCTCCGGCAGAGGAGCCTCCACAGCCTTGACCCTGACCTCGGGAGGCGGCAGAGCAGCAGTCACCATCACCGCAGAGGCCGCCACCCTGTTCAGAGGCCCTGGGGCTTTCCGCCCCCATCACGGGGCTGCTCACGTTCTGATCCCTCCTCCCCCACCCCGCATCCAGGGGCCTCCCAGACCTCCATCCCCCTCCTCCTGCCCAGCACCCCCACGGCAGCCCACTGCGATCCTCCCGGGTGCTCAGGGCCGAGGTCTCAACGCCTCCTCCCAGGCACAGCTCCAGGACCCATCCTTCACTAGCCTGGAACCGCGAAAAATCCCACTGCAGAGCCCCCGGGATCCCCCAGGCGGGACGGCCTGGCCAGTCCCTCCTGGCTCTTCCACAGGGGACCTTCTGCTGCTCCTAAGAAGCGTCTTGCTCACAGGCTATCTCTCCAGTGTGGCCTCTCAGCGCTGACAACCCCAACCTGCTGCTCCCTGGGTCACTGACAGGCGACGAACAGGCGCAGCACTGCCACCACCAATACGGACACGTACGTACATTTTTAAGTGGAAATATTTATTTCTCCACTTGAAAGACAAAGGTCTCCCACCCGCTGGTTCACTCCCCAAATGCCTACGACAGCTGGGGCTGGGCCAGGCCATAGCCAGGGGCTCGGGGTCAATCTGGATCCACAATGTGGGTGGCAGGGACTCAAGTCCTGGAGTCACCTTCACCTGCTGGCTCCCCTGGTGCACAGTAACCGGAAGCTGGATGAGAAACGGGGCCGGGATTTGAACCTAGGCACTCTCATACGGGATGCAGGTGTCACAAGCAGCCGCCGACCTGCTGAGCCGAATGTCCACTTTGCCACGACTAACACTAACTACAGCTGCTGTGGCCTCGGCGGTGCTCAGCACTGTTCTGAACACCAGCTCCGGGGCAGATCTACACAGCTGTCAGAGAAACAGAGGCCAGGTCCCTCGTCCAAGGTCACAGCGCTCCTGTGCAGCCTTTGCTGGGACGTGCACCCGGGCGGGGCTAGTGGTTTGCAGGCAGAGAGGGCTGGCTGGCTGAGGGGGTCAGGGAGGCAGGTGTGGCTTTAGCACTACGAGGAGAGAGTGGATGAGATGCAGGATCACGAGGGTGACCAGGCCATGCCTGCAGCACGCGCACTCTCCTCCCAGGACGCCACCTGCACCGATCTCAACCACTCTGCCGGGCCCAGCGTCTTCCTGCCCAGGACACCCTGAACACCCGGCAGTCTCCGCCTTCCCTGTGGCCACACGGCTTGGTGCAGTTCTCTGAAACACGGTCCCTCCGCTGCATCTCCTGCAGCTGCCCGGCTGGGCCACCAGGCAGGCCAGGTTAGGGGCCCATCTCTTCCAGCTCCCACTCCCCTATGGACCACACTCTGCCAGCACCCAGAGCTCCCGAGCCATGGGATGTGGGGAGCAACTGGGAGCAACTCGGACTAGACTAAGTTACTGGAATTAAGACTTATTCTATGCATCTGCTCTCCCACAATATGGCGCTGGGAGAGGAGGAAACAGCTTCTACGCAGCTGCCTCTTGCCAACTTGAGTGATGACCTCCAGGAGCTGATCCTGCTCCTGATTGGAGGAGAGCAGCGTACTCGGTGTGTGGGCAGCCGAGTTGGGATTGGTGGAAGAGGACTATAAAGGAGGAGAGAGATGACATGCACCAGGAACATCTGAGGGAACACCTGTGCAGCCCCCGAGAGAGCCGGCCGGCGGTGTGCCGCTCCCCCATGGAAGTGGGGAAAGTGGCTAGGGGGAACCGCTCTTCCACGGAGGTGGAAGGGACGGTAGCCAACCCGGGAAGAACCAGCAGCAAACCCGGGGAGGGCCGAGCAGACAAGAGAACAGCGCAGGGTCCTGTGTCGTTCCTCCACGAAGAGGGGGAGCGACAATGGGAGAAACTGGCAGTCCAGAGTGGGAACCTGGGAGGAAGGTGGCACCAGGCAGCATGGGCATGCTCAGTAACCCAGAGCCCCACGCGTCCCAGAGCTGTGGGCAGGCTTGACACAGCAAAGCCCAGGGCCTGCTGCCCCCATCTTAACCTGTCTGCTATGAGCAGAGGCTGGGGCAAGAAGGCAGGAGAAGCGAAACACAGGGGAAGACTGTCACTGAACAGGCGAGGGAAGAACAACAGACCCTCGACCTGGCCAGCTGCACCACATCCACAGAACTGAGGACCTCGGATAGGAGAATACAAGGTCGCCTTTGGGCAGTACAGAGGCCGCCGGGGTGCCCCATCGCCGCGGAGTGCCTGGTGCAAGTCCTGGCTCAGCTCCTGACCCCAGCTGCTGGCTAACGTGCACCCTGCAAGGCAGCAGGTGATGGCGCAAGCACTTGGGTCCCTGCCTCCCATGGGAGAGCCCCAGGTCGGGTTCCCAGCCTCTGGTCCAGACCCGGCTGGTGGGGGCATGTGGGGAGTAAAGCTGCGTATGGGTGAGATATCTCTCTCTCTCTCCCCCTGCCTTTCAAAGAAAGCAGAACACCAAAAGCACAAGTAACTCTTTCAAAGGCTGCTCTGAGAGCTTCCATCTTCAGGGTCCGTCGCTCCAGCCCAGCCTGAAATAGCCCAGAGCTCACCTGTTTTGTTCCCGTGAGCGTTTCTCACTATGCGAATGGCCACAGGTTTCAGGGGTGCCAGGAATTCCAAAACGTTTTTCTGTAACGAGAAGCAAAGTTTTCTCTTTAACCCAAAACTCTAAGTGCGACCCAATAACGAGACAGGGAGCAATCACAAAGTGCTCCATCTTGCACAGTGTTTCTTTTTCCTTTTAAATTAATTAATTTAAAAGGAAGAGTTAGAGAGAGAGAGAGAGAGAGGGAGGAACAGAGACAAAGAGAGAGAGACAGAGAGAGAGGTCTTTCCCCCGTTGGTTCACTCCCTAAATGGCTGCAATGGCAGAGCTGTGCCAGGCCGAAACCAGGAGCCTGGAGCTTCTTCTGGGTCTCCCATTTGGGTGCAGGGGCCCAAGCACTTGGGCCATCTTCCACTACTTTCCCAGGCACAAAGCAGGGAACTAGACCAGAAATGGAGCAGCTGGGTCTTGAACCAGTGCCCACATGGGATGCCAGCATCACAGGTGGCGGCTTTACTTGCTATGCCAAAACGCTGACCTCTCTTTCTCTTTTTTTCTTTAAAAGTAAACACCTTTTTCATCCATCATAAAATAAATTTGGGGAAAAACTGGACAGGAAATGAATAATACAAATAAAATATGACCAGCATGTTAAGTTTCTGAGCTTTTCTTCCTGTCTTTAAAATTTTTTTTTAATTTATATATTTTTAGTTTCTTTAAAAGGCAGAAAGACAGGTTGGGGATGAAATAAAGACACAGGGATCTATCTATCTATCTAAACAGAGAGAGAGAGAGGGAGAGAGAAAGAGAGAGAGAGAAAGAGAGAGAGAGAAAGACAGAGAAACAGAGAACCTTCATTTACTGGTTCACTCCACAAATGCCCACGCTGCAAGGGCTGGACCAGGTAAAAGTTTGAGGCCCAGAACTCCATCCAGGTCATGCACATGGGTACAAGGGCCCAAGCACTTAGGTCATCTTCCACTCCTTTTCCAGGCCACAGCAGGGAGCAGAACCAGAGTGAAGCAGCCAGAACCAGTGCTCTAACACGAGATGCTGGGACCCCAGGTGGTAGCTTAAACGGCTGGGCCTCTGGGTCCACGCTTCTCAATGACATTACCACATTCTACTGTTGCAACAGGCCACAGTTTTCAGGCAAAGCGGGGCTGTATAGCAAAGCGGGGCTGTATAGTTAACAAAGATTGGGGCCTGATCATTGCTGGCGTGGGGACTAACTATCCTGTGCTAGGTAGGGTACTTGGCTACATTTCTGGCCTCTGTTTAGCGGCAACTCCTCCCGACAGCTGTGACAATCAAAACCATCAGTGAACACTGCAGACACCCCCCGGGGATGAGTGGGCCCTGTTGGGAGCCACTGCCACAGCCACTGCCCACGGGGGAGCTGCTGCCACAGCCACTGCCCGTGGGGGAGCCACTGACACAGCCACTGCCCGCGGGGGAGCCACTGACACAGCCACTGCCCACGGGGGAGCCAATGACACAGCCACTGCCCACGGGGGAACCACTGCCACAGCCACTGCCCACGGGGGAGCCATTGACACAGCCACTGCTCATAGGGGAGCCACTGACACAGCCACTGCCCACGGGGGAACCACTGCCACAGCCACTGCCCACGGGGGAACCACTGACACAGCCACTGCCACGGGGGAGCCACTGACACAGCCACTGCCCACGGGGGAGCCACTGACACAGCCACTGCTCATAGGGGAGCCACTGACACAGCCACTGCCCACGGGGGAACCACTGACACAGCCACTGCCCGTGAGACAGTTTCCAGCTTTTTGTTTTCATAAATAAAATGAAATACACGAATACATAAAGGTATAAATAAAATAGCCATTGTAACAAATATTCTTGTCTTCAAATTTTGGTGTGCTTGGTTGATATACAAATTTCTAGCAAGGCATCATCAGATTAATAAGACGGACATTCTTTATTTTGACCGGCACTTTCAAGTTCTCCTCTAAAAGACTGCACCAATAATGTGTGAAATCGTTTATGATTAAACATTTTGCCAGAGCTGGCACTGTGACATTGCAGGTAAAGCTGCTGCGTGTGATATTGGCATCCCACATAGGTGCCAGTTTATGTCCTGGCTGCTCCACTTCCAATCCAGCTCCCTGCTCATGGCCTGGAAAAGCAGCAGAGGACGGCCAAGGACCGGGGCCCCTGCCACCCATGTGGGAGACACCGAAGAAGCTCCTGGCTCCTGGCTTTGGCCTGGCCCAGTGCTGGCTTCTTGTGATTACCTGGGGAGTCAACCAGCCATCCGGATGGAAGACCTGTCTCTCCCTCTTTCTCTCAAAAATAAGAAAATAAATAAAGGTTGTGCCAATTTGGCAGGTGAAAAGCATGATCTCCCAGTTAGAATTTACATATAACTATGAGGGAGTTCAAACAGCCGCACCAGCCTTCCAAATTCCTTTTCTTCTCCCCTTTTCCCCACTGAGTCACAAGCCCTTTGGCGTTGTGGTGCAGTGGGTCAAGCCATGACCTACAACACTAGCATCTCATGTCTATAAACCAGCTAGTCCTGCTAACTTCTCCACTTTTTTTTTTCAGTAAGTATAGTGACATGCATTCCATAACTTTTTTTTTAAAGATTTTATTTATTTGAGAGGTAGAGTTAGAGAGAGAGGCAGAGGCAGAGAGAAGTCTTGCATCCGTTGGTTCACTCCCCAGATGGCCTCAACAGCTGGAGCTGAGCCGAAGTCAGGAGCAAGGAGCGTCTTCTGGGTCTCCCACGTGGGTGCAGGGGCCCAAACATTTGGGCCATCCTCCAGGGCTTTCCCAGGCCACAGCAGAGAGCTGGATCAGGAGAGGAGCAGCTGGGACACAAACCAGCACCCACCTGGGATTTCGGCACCACAGGAGGAGGCCTAGCCCACTACGCCATAGCACCAGCCCCCTGCTCCACTTCTAATCCAGCTCCCTGCTACTATGCCTGGGAAGGCAGTTTAAAAAAAAAAAAATCCAAGTATTTGGGCCCCTGCCACCCACATGAGAGATCCACATGGAGCTCCTGGCTCCTGGCTCCAGCTTGGCTCAGTCCCGGCTGTTTGGGGGGTGAATCAGTAGATGGAAGATCAATCGATCTCTCTCTGCTGCTCTGCCTTTCAAACAAATAAATCTTAAAAACAAAGTCTCTCTGCACGTTAGATTTTTGTATCTGTTGCCTGTTTCACAAATGTCTGTTGTCTTTTGAGATGCTGTTCATGACACCTGTTGCCTTGCAGATTCTGTAGTCGGTTCCTGCACCTATTTTATTAACGCTTCTGGCCCTGCACACCGCACAGGCAGGCTTGCTCCACCTCCAGGTTTCAAGGGACTTCATCAATGCTTCCTCCGGGAACTGCTATCGGCTGGTTTTCCTTGATGTAGCCGAGACTCTTCCTGCCGTGAGAAGGCAGGCAGGGACCCACCTTCTTGCTTGTCCCTTCCAAGCAGCTCACTGGGCACCCCCTGACTAGTCACAGATTAATCTCGCTCCCCTGCCTGCACGTCAGGGCCTCCTCGCCCGAGGCTCAGCCCCTGTGCACGCTCGTGGGAGCTGTTGCTGTATCCTGCTCTGTTCTGCTGTCAGCCCCTTCACTCGAACCGCACTGTGTTAATCACCATCACTTCAGGGTCTCCTCTCCAAGAACGTTCCGGACTGTGCAGGCTTGTTCTGTGACACATCACCCAGTCATGACGAAGGCATAATTGTGATCGCATTGTATTCTTTCATTCATCAATTAGGGAAGAACTGGCAGTTTTACCTTCTAAGAATGAGGTATGGCTTTCCATTTATGTAAATGTTCTTTTAAATCTTTCAATGGAATGTAACATTATCTTTATATAGAACCTATAAAAGTTTTATTAGGACACCTGCGGCGCTGTCTCCCCCCAGTAATATTTGCAGGGAATCTGGAGACGGGCTTTCTTGTTGGTTGATATATAATAGGAATCTCTCTTTTTCCATTATGGTGTGCTGTTGTCCGTGAAGAACAAAGAAGTGACGACTTTTTGTGTATTAATTTTGAAAGTAGCCACCTGGCACATTTTATTTATTTATTTATTTATTTATTTATTTATTTATTTATTTATTAAAGCATGTGATTTTCTGCAGAGAATTCTGACTCAAGATGACCAGCTAGCTCAGATGACCCGGCACGCTGAGACGCCTGCTTGCCAGTCTCCCATCAGGTAGCTTCCAGAGGAGAAAATACGTGGGACGTACAAATGCGAAAGGACGTCCAAGCTCGATGACAACTTACCACACAATTTAAGACAGGGGGCCACTTGTGACTGTTACATTGGTAAAGGCCAAAAACTAACACGTGGGGCGGGGGAAGAGCACACGACGTGAGCGAGACACTGCAGCAGGGTACAGCTAATGGTCAAAGATCTTGTCCAAGCTGCTCTGCAGCTGCTCCAGCTCCCTGCTAAGGCGCCTGGGAAAGCAGCATTAGACGGCCCAAGTAGTTGGGCCCCTGTCACCCATGTGGGAGATCGGATGGAGTTCCTGGCTCCTGTCTGGCCCAGCCCTGGCTGTTGTGACTACCTGGGGAGTGAACCAGTAGATAGAAGGTAGTGTCTCCTCTCTCCTTCTCACTCTGCTTTTTACGTAAATAAATAAATAACTCTTTTTTAAAAAATAAAGACAGTGGTCAGTGTTCATAAACAAAGAAAACAATGTCAGCAGACAGACTCCTGACTGCACGGCTGGTTTCCCTGGGTGGGGTACGTGAATCGGCAACTCCATCCTCAGACCTGCTGAACACACACCTGCCTCCTGGCACGCCGCCCAGCAGCCCTGACTCACTGGACGGGAGTGTGGACAGCCGCCCTCGTCACAGGCCATTTTCTACAGCCTTTTCTTGCGACTGAGCTACTTTCACAAGGTGGACATCAAAGTGGCGCTCTGCTGTTGCGGACCCAGGGTCAGCAAGGACATCCACGCCACCAGGGCCCTGTGGCTTTGCCACGCAGCTCTAGTGGAACAAGGTCGTGCTATTTGTTCATCCACTGCCGTGAGTGTCTCTGAGCTACAGCGGGGCCACATGGCCTGAAATGTGCACCAGCTAACCCCCTCCCCCCCATTTAAAGAAAATGTGCCCGCCCTGGACTGGATGTCAGCGGTTACACCAGTCTATCACCATCCTGGTGTGGCCATCCTCACCTCCTGACCTTGGCAGTTCCTTGAGATTATATTATCAGCCTTTCTGACCTCTAATTCCTTCCGGCCAAAGCCTTTAATGATACCAATTCCCCAGGCAGCAAAAGCCCCTGGCATCCCACCTCTTCTGTCCCTGGGGGCTCCCCGCCTCTGTCCTGGGTCAGCACATCTCTCTGTGACACTGAGCCCTTCTGCCCCACCCTGGGTTAGCACTCCTCTGGGACACTGAGCCCAGGTCAGCACAGCCCTCTGTGACACTGAGCCCCCCCGCCCCCCGGTCAGCACAGCCCTCTGTGACACTGAGCCCCCCCAGGTCAGCACAGCCCTCTGTGACACTGAGCCCCCCCCCAGGTCAGCACAGCCCTCTGTGACACTGAGCCCCCCCCCCCCACCAGGACACCCCCCTGTGACACGGCACAGCTGCAGACGCCGGCACACCGGGGCGGGGAAGACTGGCTGCTGCCAAGAGCTGGAGAGAGCCACCGGGCGCCGGTGCAGGTGCCTGTGTCTGGCCACAGTGGAGGTGCAGCCGCCAAGCCTCCGTGTGCAGCCCAGGTGAGGGCAGGAGCCGCGGGCGCAGCACAGGAGGGCAGGGGGCAGCAAGGGGCCCTGAGGCCTAGTGACACCCCCGGCCACCGATGGAGGGCTGCGCTGTGTGGGATCCTCCGCAGAAGCCGTGGCCGATCAACCTGGCAAATGGTCCCCGGGGGGTTGTGGGCGCAGGACCATCTCTTGTAACTCTGGGATCCAAACAGCTCGGAGCAAACCCTGGGTTTTGCTAACTCTCTGGCAATGAACCCAGCAAGGCCTGCCCTGGTCTGACGGGAGCCGACGTGTGGCCCTAACCATGCCACGCAGAGTGAGCGGCCGCAGCCCCGGGGGAGCTGTGCTGACCTCCTGAGAGCGGAAGTCAGTGAGAGCCCGTGAGCGCTGGGGCACGGGGCTGACGCTGGCCGCAGGGGCTGGTGTGACGAGGAGCCCACTTCTCAGATGCGCAGGCGCGGCTTCTGCAGGGGAGGCATCTCCTCCGTGGTCCAGCAGCCACCGGGCGCCAAGGCGGAATCCAAGCCCATGAGCGCGGGACTCCTCCACCCTACCCCTCCCTGAAATCCACAGGGTTTCCTTAGGGAAAAAAGGACGGGTGCAGCAGCGGCAAGGGAAAGGGAGGAGAAGGGAGGGCACGAGCCTCCCGGGGACCCGCAGGGAACTCAAGGGCCAGGCAGCCCGGGGGCCGCGCAGCGGGGTGAGCAGGGCCCGTCCAAGGTGCCGGCGGCCCTGCCTCTGAGCACAGAGCACTCTCGGGGGTGGGGCTGCTCTTCTCCAGGGAATAGCCTCAATATAACCTTGACCTCAGAGCTTGCACATGGGGTCCGAGTCCTGATCCGCTCATGTCCCAGCCACGGCCTCAGGGCCTCAGTTTCCTCCTTTAAAATGGTACAAGAAGCCCTGGCCCAGCACTGGGATGACGGCCAGGACCGGCAGACGTGGGCCTGGCACGGAGCAGGTGCTCCATTGCCCGCACCCATCACTGCTGACGGTCGGCGTGGCTCAACGTTAGCGTGCCGCGTGCCTTGCTAGGAGCACAAAGTACCACCCACTCATGCCGCCGCCCAGCTCACCCGCGGCTGGCAGTCCGGAAGGCAGGTGGGCTGTGTAGGCACGCGGCTTTCCTGAGACACACGGCAGTCCCTAAGGCTACCACATGAGACCTCCTAAAATGGTGGCTGCAGCCCCCCACCCCGCCCCGCCACCACAGTGCCCTGACCCGCACACACCTGGGCTCTGGCCTCCGGGGCTCGCCGATGCCCAGGCTGGGCCCCTGGCTCCTGGCCGGCGCCCCCGCTCTCTCTTCCCTGGGGGGTGGCAGCGGTGGGGGGGTCCTCTTCCTCAGGCTCACTCCCTCCATCACAGTTGACTGCTTCATCCTCACTCTCCTCCTCCTCCGAAGAGGAAGAAGAGGCAGAGCCGGCCCTCACCACCTTGGATTTCAGGTAGTCCATGTCCGACAGCTCCTTGCGGGCAGCTGCCTTGGGCTCTGGACCTTCCTCCTCTGCAAAAAGGCAAAGGCTGGGGTCAGGGCCAGCTGTGGGCAAGCCAGAGAGTTGGGGGCTGGATGGCACCACGGACCCCCTGGTGAGTGGCCTCAGTGGCCACACCCTCAACGGCCAGGACCCCCAGGCCTCTGGGCCCCACAACTCCCTGAGAAGCTGTGTGCAACGGCAATGGCAAAGCTGCTGCGGTTCAGCTATCACCTGTGCCACCGCCCCTGCCACCAGCCTGGCCCACCCCCACCCCCGCCCCCGCCCATCCCTTTTCTTCTGGTCATCTCTGTTGCAGCGTTTTTATGAAACAGACTTTTGTTGTGCGTATTTGGATGTCCTAAGCCGGTGTCCGTCAGGTCCCGGGGCACATACAGTACACGCACAAACACTCAGCACGCACACGCACTCACACACACGGCCCTCACCTTCCACGTCCGCCCCGGCTCCGTCCTCCTCACTCTCCTGCCCTGAGTCCGAGTCGAAGTTCAAGTAGTCATCGGCCGCCTTGCGCTGCGCTCTCAGGGGCTCCGCGCCCAGCGCGTCGTTGGCCCACGTGGCTGCCTGCGCCCGCCGCTGGTGAACTGACAGGAACTCCTGGAACTCGGCATCTTCCTTCAGCTGGGGACAGTGGCGACACAGAGGACGGGAGAGGAGGCTCAGGCGGGGCTCAGCTTCTAACCCCTGGGAGGGTGAGCGCCCCCAAGCTCACCTCCCTCCATCCCGAGTGGCCCTGACTGAGGGTCAGCCGAGGGGGCACAGAAGGCCCAGGAACGCGGCAAGCAGCGACCTGCACCAGCCCCCGCCCCTCCTGGACAGTCCCCACCCCCGCCCCGCCCGGGGCGCCAGGACACTCACCTTCCCCAGCCCACTCGGGGCTTTTGTCTTCTTGTCCTGAAAGCAGACGGTGGGCGGTCAGAGTCACACCCTGGAGACCCCCCTGGACAGGTCTCCCCACCTCTCAGGAGACCACTGTGTGGACTGGGGGGCTCGGGCTGGGGTCCCTACGCACCCTCTTAGCTTCTGCGGGAGCCGGCTCCTGGGAAGGCAGCTTGTCTTGGCTTGGTTTCTGGGTGTGCTTGCTCCAGGCTCGGGGCTTCGTCGGGTCCCCAAAGGACTTGCAGAACTCCACCTGCGTGGGAAAGACGGGCCGTCACACTGCCCCGCTGCCAGGCATTTAAGCACTGCCTGGGAGCCTGGGCTGTGGAGACGGGCAATCATCGCTGACGTGCAGAGTGCACGGAGCAAATTCCTTTTCTTCCACCCCGGCTTTCTTTTCAAAGTCACCAGCATGGGTACCTCTGACAGGATCCCCATGCCGGGTGCTGTAACTCAGCTGCGGGCAGCAGCGCAGTGAGGTCTGGTACTCGGGGACGCGCTACTGCCCGAGAAGACGCAGGCCGTGTGTGCTGCCGGGGTCTGCGCAGGGCAAAGCCGAGTGGAGGCTGCAAGCCCCACCGATGACTGGGAGGCCGCTCCGCTGGCCCTGCAGAACGACTCCAGGGCGGTGGGAACACGAGGAGGAGTGCAGGGGCCTGAGACGAGCTGCTGGTCCTGCTGGCTGCAGCTCCCCGGCACCGTGAGACGACGCGGGGGGCCTGGCCTGACGCTGCCCCCCACGGCTACACCCCTTCTGTGCAGGCTTTGACAACGGTTCTGCTTCTGTAATAACAACTGTGCTCCAACAATAGCAGCAAAGCAAACACCCCCACTCCTGCCGTCCAGAGGGGAATCGTTAGGACCCCGTGCCTAGACCCTGCCCACCCACCCTCACACAGGTCAAGGCGTGTGTGCCTGACTATGATCACGCGACACAGGCTCTCCGCCACCTGGCTGCTCCTTCTCAGCAAAGTGCTAGAGACGTTTTACCAAGTCCCCAAATGCACGCGAGTGCTGCCCGAGACCTCTTCCTCCAGGAAGCTTTCCTGGCTCCTTCCTGGCCAGGGCAGAGGCTCCTCTGCTCTCACAGTCCTGGTCCTGCCCCACCACAGCGCTGAGGGCACCTGATCCCCCTGCGTCCCCTGTGTACGTTTCTCCTCCCAGTCCCCAGTGTGCAGGGGGGCTCACTGAGGACGCGGGCCTGCAGTTCCAGGCGTGGCCCGCCTCCTGCCAAAGCACAGGCTGTGCCCGAGAGCTCCTGGGACCACGCGGACTTGGGCCCCGGGGTCTGTTTCAACAAGCCCCCAGTGGGCCTTCTGCCCGAAGCAGCCAGCAGCCCAGGGCCGTCACAGCCCGAAGGGGGCGGGGGACAGCGCCACTCCCCAAGGCACTCACCGCGACCCGGGAGGTGTCGATAAAGCTCTTGTTGAAGTGGTTCAGGGCCGTCCGGGCCTCGTCCTCGGATTTGAAGCCAATGAAGCCGAACTTGCGGAACTTGCCGTCTTTGGTGAACTTGAGGCTGCAGTCGGTCAGCGTGCCGAAAGCCTCGAACAGCTGCCGGAACCGCTCCTCCTTCATCTGCGACAGGAGGGGCGTGAGGAGGGCGCGGGTGGGGACCCCCGAGCGGGAAACCCACGGCCACGGGGCCCTCCAGGGCGCAGTGCCCTTCCTGGTCAGGCCACGTCCCTGCCCTGGCTCCAGCACTTCCCGGTCGGGTGCCTTGAGCAAGTGCCCACTTCACAGACGAGCACACTGAGGCACACAGGCTGCAAACGCCACCTTTCCAACCAGGGTGCTGCTGTGAGGACAAGGCCAACCAGAAGAGGAGACACCGCAAGTACCCGCCAGAGTAAGCGAGCGGAGGCAAGAACGCGACAAACCACATCTGCAATCGCTCACTTGGTGGAGGAACATGGAGCCCCCGAGACGTCCACTGCCCGACTCCTGGAGTCGGGCTACCTGGTACGGCGTGACTGAGGTCCTGGCGTGGGGCGCCGACTCTCCACGGGCCCAGGGTCACCACAGGTGAGCCGGAGGAGGGGCAGAGAAGCCCAAAACTGAGGGTGTGGCTGTGGGCCAGGGCAGGCGGGCAGCCCCTAGAGGCTGACTCGGCGAGAGGGGCTGCAGCCCTGTCCACGCCCTGCAGGGGAAGCTGCGTCCCGGGAGCCTGCAGAGGGGCTGCAGCCCTGCGCATGCCCAACCTTGGGACTTCTGGCTCCAGGCCCGTCAGAGAATGATTTTGTGTTGTTTACGCACTGGATTTGGGGTAACTTGTTACGGTAACAGAGAAAACCAGCATGCTGAGCTGGTTACACCTCCATCAACGCGTCCCATGCTCCAGAGGACTGGCTCCTGGCTCGCGTCATCCTCACCCCTCAGGGACTCCACGGGGGATTTATGAATATGGTCCGGGGGTGAGGGAGAACTCAGCGCCCCACACACAGCCCAACAAGCCTGCAAATGAAGAAGCCAGAGGCCTCGCCAGCCCAGGAGGAAGGTAGGAGGTCTTCTTGGAGGAGCTTCGTAATAACCACTCTCATCAAAATCCTACAATCACTCTAGGAGTTAGGACTTCTGACCCACATTCTACACGAGAAAATGGGGTTCCTCGAGCATACATGACCTCCCGGGAAGTCCACAGGATCAAGCTGGGACTCAGCTCAGAAGCATAAAAGAGGAATTCATACCTCCCTCGAGCCCGACCATGGCGCTCCTGCGCCTTCCAGGGAGCTGAAGTTGAACCCAGGACTCGCCAGCACCTCCCAGCCTGGGCGCTCCAACTTGTTCCCTCTGGGCGGGGCCTCCCCGGACACGCCCCGGCCGGCTCCTCCTCACTCTCATTCCTCTCCCCAGGGGAAGTCTGTCCAGATTCCTCGGGTGGCCCAGGGAACCACGCGCCTCTGGCTGCCCGCAGAACCCCACACCTGCTTGCCGACAGGCAGGCGCCTTAGCCACCTCTACCCAGCACCCAGCAGCACAAGTTGCTGTGTCGGGGAATAATTAGGATAAAGGCATGTGTACGCTGAGACAGCAGGGCACAGCGGCCAGGACAGCCTGTGCTGCAACCTCATCACTCAGCTCAGCCCCTGTGTCGGGCCCCAGGCCCATCACGTCCTTGCAAATTTTTATTTATTTATTTATTTATTTATTTTGACAGGCAGAGTGGACAGTGAGATAAACAGAGAGAAAGGTCTTCCTTTGCCGTTGGTTCACCCTCCAATGGCCGCGGCGGCCGGCGCACCGCGCTGATCCGATGGCAGGAGCCAGGAGCCAGGTGCTTCTCCTGGTCTCCCATGGGGTGCAGGGCCCAAGCACTTGGGCCATCCTCCACTGCACTCCCTGGCCACAGCAGAGAGCTGGCCTGGAAGAGGGGCAACCGGGACAGAATCCGGTGTGCCGGCGCCGCAAGGCGGAGGATTAGCCTAGTGAGCCGCGGCGCCAGCCGGTTTATCACCTTTAAAAGGGGCGTAAAGCCGGAACCCGCCTCCCGCCTCCCGCCCCCGGACAGCGCCAGGCACGCGCTACAAGCCGCAAGGAGCAGCTGCTACTGTTACAGCTTTGATCACTCACGGACAGCGAACGATGCTAAGAGTTGGCCACACTGAGATACCAAGGAAGCAGAGTTAGGAGAGCGAGGAAGGGAGCCACGGTGGAATCCTCACCCCACAAGAGATACGGGGAGTGGGCCCACACTGTTCACGGTAAAGACAGGGAAGCTTAGCGCACTCAAGTTAGAGCCTGGGGTTGTGCAGCTCGGCACGTGGTCACTGGGGCAAACGGAGCAAGAAATGGAGCCGCGAACACACTGCCTGGGCACAGAGACGCTTCTGAGGAGTCCTAGGAATAACCCACACCGCGCTGGCTCCTCCTCACTCTCATTCCCCTCTCTGGAGGAAGCCTGTCCAGATTCCCGAGTGGACCAGGGAACCACGCTCCTCTGGCTGCCCGCAGAACCCTGCACCTGGCTTCCCGACAGGCAGGCGTCTTAGCCACCTCTTAGCCACGTCTTAGCCACCGCGGGGATGGAGGGCAGGCGGCAGCCGAAGGCGCGGCTTCTCCTTACACACGCTCCTGCACCGTTTGAATCCCGGGTCCCTCCCACCAAAGAGGAAAAAGGAATTTTCTTTTAAGAAGCCACAATCACGAAACTAAATGGCTTTTCCTTCTTTCTAGCCAGAGAGGTGGAGAGGTTACCGGGGGTGCAGACAGAAGGCACTGAGACAGCACCCACAGGGCGCCCTCTGCAAGTGGGGGTGGGCTCAGGGGGCCACACCAATGTGGGGGGCGGGGCTCCACCCAACCACGCTTCTCGGCTCACGGATCCCGCTTCCCCCGGGCGCTACCACGTGCCGGTGGCGCGCTGCGCTCTGGCCGTGGGGTCCCGGCTCCCCCGGACTGGGTAAGCGCCCCGTGGGTGGCGCAGCCCGCGCGACCCCCGACCCCCGACCCTCGGCCATGCAGAGTCGGGTCAACCGCAAACGCAACCCGACGCGAGGCTGCGCAGCCCGGAACTTGGCCGCTGGGGATCGGGCGCCCACCGCGGGTGTGGAACCCCGAGCGGCCGCGATGCCTCGCTCCCGCCCAGGATCCTGCCCCAGAGCAAACACCCCGCAGCCTCCTCCAGATGCCTCTCCCCCAGGACCCCGGAGCCCAGCCGGCCCCATTGCAGACTCCCAAGTTGGGGGTCTGCCCTCACCCCGTTCGGGAGGTTCTTCACGATCAGCCGCGACATGCTTGCACGGTCCTCCCGGGATCCCAGCACGACTCAACCGCGTCTGCCTCTGCCAACTCTCACGCCGCCGCTCTGGGCGCCGCCATCTTTGGCAAGCCGGAACTAAATCACGTGGCCCAGGCCCGCCCACCCGGAAGTGGGCGCGGCCACACGGCGCTGCTCGAGGAAGTCACACCCGAAAGGGCGGGCCTAAGCGCTTGCCTTCTGCGCAGGCGCAGGCTGTTGGGCCGCTCCTGGAGATGCCGGTGCGACCGAGAAGGCGGCAGGGGGCGCTGTTTCCAGGTATCTGCGAGGGAGTCGTTTTGAGATTTTCAATTTTGATTTCTTGTTGTGTGCTAAGCCCCGAGAATGGGGCGGGATGAGGGAGCCTTGCGTCCCCTTTGGAACTGGGGAAACTGAAGTTTAAGAAAGAAGTTTAGGCCGTTTAGACCTGCCTGGTCCGTGGACCAGCGAGCATTTGGGGCGAAGGTTAGGATCTGCGTGTAGGAAGCAGACATCACCTGGCAGGCAGGTGAGCTGGGAGGCGGACGCAGCTTGCTCAGAGTCCTGTAGCTGTCAGGGAGGCAGGTCTCCGGCCCTGCCACGCGTGCCCTGCAGTGCGCACCCAGCGTGAGTGCCCTGCAGGTATGTATAGATACGAAAGGCAGAGAGACACACAGAGGTCTCCCGTCAGGTGCAAATGTCTGCAACAGCTGGGGTTGGGGCAGGCCGAAGCCAGGAGCTAGGAACTCAATCCAGGTCTCCCATGTGAGTGGCAGGGACCCCACTATCGCCTGTGGCCTCCCAGGGTCCAAATTGGCAGGAAACTGGAGTCAGGAGCTGAGCCAGGAACCCAGGAACTCTGATATGGGATGTGGGCGTCTCAAGCCCTGTGCCAACAACCTGGCCCTGAACATGACCTTTTTCAAGAAAGGGTCTTTGCAGTTTAACTAAATATCTTGAAATGAGTCACCCTGCACTCTGCAGCAGGACCCTAAATGCAAAGTGTCCTTGCAAGAAGCACACAGGGGGTTGGCGTTGAGAGGCAGCAGGCCAAGCCCCCGCCTGCAACACCCACCATGTACCATATGGGCACAGGTTCAAGCCCCAGCTGCTCCACTTTTTTTTTTTTTTTAAGATTTATTTCATTTTATTTTTGAAAGACAGAGTTATAGAGAGCGGTAGAGACAGAGAGAGATCTTCCATCCACTGGTTCACTCCCCAGATGGCCACAACGGCCAGAGCTGCACCAATCCGAATGCAAGAGCCTGGAGCTTCTTCTGGGTTTCCCACGTGGGTGCAGGGGCCCAAGGACTTGGGCCATCTTCTACTGCTTTCCCAGGCCATGGCAGAGAGCTGGTGGAAGTGGAGCAGCTGGGACTTGAACCAGTGCCCATATGGGATGCCGGCACTGCAGGCTTTACCTGCTGTTCCACAGCGCCAGCCCCTGCTCCACTTCTGATCCAGCTCCCTGCTAACGGCCTGGGAAAAGCAACAGCAGATGACCCAGGTGCTTGGACCCCTGCCACCCACCTGGGAGACCTGGAAGAAGCTCCTGGGTCTAGCCTAGCATAGTCCTGGCTGTTGCAGCCATCTGGGGTGTGAACCAGTCGATGGACAATCTCTCTCTCTCTCTCTCTCTCTCTCTCTCTCTCTCTCTCTCCCTCCCTCCCTCTCTCTCTCTCTCTCTTCCTCTCTCTCTCTCCATAGCTCTTTCAAATAAGTAATTTTTAAAAACAAAAAACAACGCAAACGGCGGAGGCAGCCCCTTGGAGCAGGGCACGTGAGGACACAGGCAGAGACTGGGGAGAGGCAGCCACAAGCCGAGAGATACCCAGAGCCCCTGGAGCTGCGAGAGGCCCGGAAGCCCCCGCCTTGCCCCCCGCCGCAGGGTTGGGGAGCGCAGCCCTGCGGCTGTCCTGATTTCGGATTCGGCCCACAGAACAGCGAGGTGGTAGTGTGCTGCCTCCTGCGCTGCCGCCCACCTGCAGCAGCAGAGTGGCGCAGAGCCACGGACACTCACTTCCTCTCAGTTCCCCGCAGCCCAGGAGCCCAAAGTCCAGGTGTCCACTCTAAAGGCGCCGGGGGAGGAGCTGTCCTGCTGATCCAGGCCTCCTGTGCCCCTGGCCACACCCCTCCAGGCCCTGCCTCTGCTCCCTTCTGCTGTCAGCATCCAATCTGTCTCCTCCTGTCTCTTATTAGACAGCTGTCATTAGGGCTCAATCAAAATGCAGGAGGATCTCATAGCCAGGTCCTTGATGACCTCTGCAATGTCTCTGTCCCAACGAGGTCACATTCCCAGGTTTGGGGATCGGGGTGTGGATACAGCTCTTGGAGGGGACGTCTTTCCTCTCTACCACATGGGGATTCAGTTGCCTCGCATAGGCTGTTCTGGAGGTCCAACCGCACCCTTGTGCAGTGTTGTTTTGTGCAGATGTCTCACACAGAAGACACATGCATGGGGTGGGCATTGGGCTTGGCAGGTAAGCCGCTGCGTGGGGCACCCGCATCCCATATGGAAGTGGCTCTGCTTCTGATCCAGCTTCCTGCTCCTGTGCACCCTGCAAGGCAGCAGTAACGGCTCGGGTTCCTGGGTCCCTGCCGCCCACATAGGAGATCTGGACTGGGTCTGGGCTCCTGACTTCCCAGCCACGGCAGGCATTCGTGTGGGTGGAAGATCTCTCTCCATCTCTGGCTCTCAGTCTCTCTCTTTCAAATCAAACACACACGACTCTCACAAATGCACCCACATTAACTGTGGTTGACTACAATGAATTGTATGTTTCAAAATAGCTGCTGGAACACCAGGAAGCAATCAGCATGCCAGCTGATGGTATCTCAGCTCATTGGATCTTTACCTGAGCTACACATGCCTTGAAATGTCCCTCTGAACCCTACAAACATGTACAGTAATTGCATACCAGCTAAAAAAAAAAAAAAAGAGGAGTGGGTGTTGTGGTGCAGGGGTGAAGCCACCACGTGTGAGGCCACAGGTCCCGCCAGAGAGCCAGTTTCAGTCCCTACTGATGTGCCTGGGATGGGAGTGGAAGGTGATCCAAGTGCTTGAGCCTCCGCCATCCGTGTCGGAGACCCAGATGGAGTTCCTGGCTCCTGGCCCATCACTGGTGTTGTGGGTACTTGGGGAGTGAACCAGCAGCTGAATCTGCATCTCCCTCTCTCTTTCTCCCCCTCTCTTGCTCTGCCTTTCAGATAATCTTTGCTAATGTATTTGACGATGCCCTAAGTCCTTGAGCAGACGGCTTAAGGGATTACCGTGTTTTACGGTCATCCACCCCTCCCATCAAGGTTTACGGAAGGGTCAGTCATGAAACGACCTCAGGCCCTTTTGTCTGCACGCCCAGCCCGCTGGGATGGGCCAGCGCAGGCTTCATGAGGCGCTCGGGGCGCTACCCTTAATCAGAGGGTGCGTGGAGGTGACCCGACCAGTCCTGCCTCCATATACCGTTACTTTATTTTTTAATGAACTGCCTTTAATAAAACCTACAACTCAGCATAGCCTTCCCTAAGGAAATCCACAAACCAGGAGGTGTTTGAAAGGCATTGAAAGAGGACGAGTGCCCTTTGGGAATCCGCACCGCCCAGCGCTGAGCCCGGGAAATGTGGCCGCCACATGTCAGGGCAGGCTGGACGGCCAGGGCTGGGTGCCCCCTGTGTTTCCTAAGCAGCCCACGTTGTAACTTGGTTATTACTCTTCCTGCCTCCCTGTCCCTCCCAGTAAATATTCTCCAGGCCACCTGGACCCCACTGGGCTGGCTTCTCTGATGACGCCTGGGAATTAAAAACAACTGACCAAGCAAGTCAGAGTCAGCGCCAGCCATAGTGCCTGCACGGAGGTGCCTGGGCTGTGAGACATCGTGTCTGGCCTCTGAGGGATAGGCCAGTTGTGTGTGTGTGTGTCTGGAAGATTCTAGAAAGTTCTGGAAGAGGATGAAGCAAGGACAGGAAGCTGAACTCTTGGTTTCCTCCATAAATCAGCTCTGCTCCATGCCCCAAAGAATGAGGTGGAAGTTCACCGATGCGGACATGTCAGCCCAGGTGGAAACACCTGGACACATGGGTACTTGTAACAAATTGGCAACAGTTTAAATGTCCCTCGGTGGGAAACTGGGAGAACAATGCACAGAATATCAGGGAGGAGGAGAGAGATATTGATAATATTGAGAAGGAGGAGGCGGTGCCCCAAACTGATTTTGAATCCACTCTTGAATAAAAGGAACTGGGATGGGAGGGGTGGGAGGGGGCGGGCGTAGTGGTGCAGCAGGTCCAGCAGTCGCTTGGGACCCACACATCTCATACCCGCGTGCCTGGGATCAAGTTCTGTCTCAGCTTCCAATCAGGCTTCCTGCTAATGCACACTCTGGGGGGCAGCCGGTGACGGCTCAAATGATTGGGCCCCCACTGCCCACGTGGGAGGCCCAGATGGAGTTCTTGGCTCCTGGCTTTGGCCTGGCCCAGCCTTGGCTGCTGTGGGCATTTGGGGAGTGACCCTGCAGATGGAAGACCGCCCTCTTTCTCTCGCTCTCGCTCTTGCTCCATAACTCTGCCTTTCAAATCCATCCATCTGTGTTACAGGAACAAAAGGAGTCAGGGCTCCTTAGAGAGACACTCTTTCTAGGCTGGGCCAGGGAGCACACACCACAGACCTGGGGCATCTCGTCACACCAGGTCAGGAGGGGCTGAAGGGACAGACACCAAAACGAAAGAGCTTCCTGTGTGCAAAGTTGGGACATGGTGTTGCAGTGCACCGTAACCCCTGGTGTAAAGTAAACATCCAGGAGTCCATGGATACAGAAACAGGTCATGAACACATGAGCAAGTGCGGAAGGATAAACACCTGTCCTACGCAGAGTTCCTAGTGCTGGAAGTGGCCCTCCGTGGGGCCGTGCCCGACTCCCAGCCCGGGGCTGTGCCTGGTGACTTCCTCCCCAGGACTGCAGAAGGGGAAGGGAAGAAACCAGGGATCTCATCAGGGAGCAACCTGATGGGCACGACCTCGGCAGTGACCAAGGTCACGGTCGACACCGCGAGCCCCGTGCAGCCCTTGTGCAGACGAAGCTTTCTGCTGTGGTCACGTTCCCAGAGTCCAGAGCCCTACTCCAGTCCCAGGGAAACCTCAGAGCAACT